AGTGTTGGATTGTCCATTCCTGCAGAACATGTATTCTTCCATTATTTACAAATCAGTGGTCAGCCTCTTCTGTTATGTCCAAATGTATACAAGAAACTATGTATGAGAAATATATTTAATCGACTTTTTAATCTCCTATTCATTTCTGAGAAGATCCCATTTAGTGCTTTTTTTCCCCACCTCACTCGCAATGTCCCAAGATTTAAAACAATGTCTTTCATTTGACTGGGTCACATTAAAAAAAGTAAAAAAGCAGTAGAAAGCAAAGGCCAACCTCATGAAAAGCCTGCACAGCATACTCTTAAATCAAAACAGAAGCTTGATTTTAATATATCAAAAATATGATGTAATGTTTGATGGTGTTTCATTTATTTATTTATTTATTTATTTATTTATTTATTTATTTATTTAACCTTTATTTAACCAGGAAAGTCCCATATAGTTAAAGTAACTCTTCTTCCAGGGAGTCCTGGCCAAGAAGGCGGCTTAAAAAGTTACATTAACATAAAACCACAGGAGACAAGACAACCACAGCTACATATCATCTAGGCAAAATTAAAAACAACACAACAAGATTGGGCATACACATACAACCAAAAAGCAAACAGCAAATAAGGCATCCAATCAAAAACAGTTGCATCTGTCAGTTAATGATGATTTTAACAGGTCTTTAAAAGAATTTATGGATGGAAGTACTTCAAGATTTAAAGTGGCTTGAAGTTCATTCCATACTTTAGGTGCAAATGATGAAAATGCTGTTTTTCCTACTTCAGTTCTTGTAAATGGAGTATGTAAAAGTATTTTTTCTGATGACCTAGTCCTGTAAGTACTATCTTGAATGGAAAGTAAATTAAAAATGTATAAAGGTAGTTTACCCATAAGGGCTTTAGCAATAAAAGTCAGTACATGAATTTTTCTCCTCATGTAAAGAGAAGACCACTGTACAGTTTCATAGAGAGTGCAGTGGTGAGTCCTAGCTGATGCACCTGTGATAAAACGTAAGGCAGAGTGGTACAGTACATCCAGTTTTTTAAGTAAGAATAAACTGGAGTGAATATACAGTGTATCCCCATAGTCAAGCACTGACAGGAATGTGCTCTGAACTAGCCTTTTCCTCGCAAGATAGGGAAAGCACTTCCTCATTCTAAAGAAAAAACCCAACTTTGGTCTAAGTTTCTTACAGAGGCTCTCAATATGAACACCAAAGGACATCTTATCATCCAACCAGATGCCTAAATACTTGTAAGATGATACTCCTTCTATTTTAGTTCCATCTTGTGTTGAAACACTAATGTTAGGTGAGGATCGTGAATGTGTGAATGTCATTGTTTTAGTTTTTTTAGCATTCAGTACCAACTTTAATTCAATAAGAAATGTTTGTAAATGATTAAAAGCAGACTGCAATTGTGCAAATGCAGCATTCACTGATGAAGCTGTGGTGTACAAAATAGTGTCATCTGCATAAAGATGCACTTTTGCTGTCTTCAGGTCCTTACCCAAGTCATTTATATAAAGAGAAAATAAAATTGGACCCAAAACTGACCCTTGTGGGACCCCCATTGTAACTTCTAATGATGTTGAGGTATAGTTATCAATTACAATACACTGCGTTCTATCATTAAGGTAATTTGAAAACCACCGTAGTACAGTATCACTAAAGCCTATTCTTTGTAATCGCTTCAAAAGAAGATCATGGTCCACTGTATCAAACGCTTTAGAAAGATCAATGAATATTGCAGCACAAGACTTCTTATTATCTAAAGCATTCAAAATGTCATTTGTGACTGTGGTAACAGCTGTGACTGTACTATGACCTTGTCGAAAGCCAGACTGCAATGGGTTTAAAATTGAGTTCTCAGTTAAAAAAAGTTTGAGTCTCTCGTTTATAAGAGATTCAAACAGTTTGGCCAGCACAGACAATCTAGAGATTGGGCGATAATTGTCCAATAAGGAAGGGTCTCCACTTTTCAAAAGTGGGAGGACAAAAGCAGACTTCCAAGATGTAGGTATGGTACCACTACATAAACTAAGATTAAAAATTGAGGCAATAGGCTCAGCAATCAAGTTAGCAGCAGTTCTAAGAAAATACGAAAATATTTATCTCAAAAGAGAAATGTGACTTTGAGAATGTTTATGCTGCAGCAGAAGTAAGCAAAACAAAAACAATACAGATCATATCATGAGCCGAAGATGAAAGAAAATCAACTATGCTTGGTCTCAGGGTCTTCTCTAAGTCAGTGAACTGCAGCATAAGACTCAAGGATTCACGGTTGTGTAAAGTTTTAACCGAGTTGAACAACTACATTCCATTCATAGATATCTGGGTGTTTTTTTGGTATTTTTTCAGATCTCATAGGGGCGAAACTGTAGGCGTTGCTTATCTACTCACCTCTAGTCATGACATAGTACTGATTGCAATCCAGGCCCATGATTTCCCTCAAAGATGAAATACAATGGCACCAGAGAGACACCTGTTTATCTGAAAAGGATGTAGTCTTACCCTAAAAGGTTTAAAGAAGAAAACAAAATAAGAAACCAAAGAAAATTATAAAAGACATAACAATAACATTTATAGTTCACCGTTTCTTTCAGCCAAACAAAGACATACCCAAAACATACTATGCTTTTTTGCATTGCTTTCATACATTACTCAGAGTCACTACTGCCCGAACCAGGTTTGCACCTTTCTAAAGCTATTTAATTAGATATTTTTGAAATTCTCAACTGACAGCTAGGCTTGATAGATAGAAAGATAGAACCATCTACCTCTGACGGGCAGTATTTATATGCTGTTGTCAAGGATCTTCCAAAGATAATATTACACACTTACAGAAAGTACATAGAATGGCATCAGACTGGTCCAGTAATTTCCACGTCTTTGTTCCAGTAAAACAGTACAATTATTGACTTTGAAAAATCTAAAGAATACCTGCTGTTCTTGATTTTTTATTTTTACTTTGGTCTTCTTTGTTCACTTTTTGCTGCTTTCTTCTTTGTTTTGTGTTTCTCTTGTCTCATGTAGGTATGGAACTAGACTTCTAGGAGTAACTGTATATCTTCTGTATTGTCTCTTTTTGCTGTTTTATTTTCTCTCTTTTCATGCACTATTTCCTATCTATATTTCTTTCCCTCTCCCCTTAGTTCTTATCCTCTCTTTCTTTCTCAGCTCCCTTTCTGTCTCTGTGTCCATTGTAGAGGATTTTACTCACCAAATCATTTTTTTAAGTTAAATATACAAATATCAACCTTATGGCAACCTTATGGCAACTACTATAATGGTCTGCTTGTGAAAGCAAAGTTCGTTTTTGTCATGATGGGTAATCTAGGCAAGCCCAAGATGCAGAAGGAAAAAGGAGGCAGGGAAAAAGTTCAAATGTTTATTATAGGATGAAAACACAAGGTTAATGCACTGGGACTGGAGACTGTTGGTTAGCAGAGTCCATGAGAAGCTAAGCCTCTAGCTTCAGGCTTAGCATGGCAGACCAAGATCTGAGCTTCTAGTTTACTGCAGAGAACAACAGGGAATATCCACATAGGATTCTTCAGGCTGAGCATCCAGCTCATTGCAGAGAACCAGGAATATCCACATAGGATTCTTCAGGCTGATTCCACATAGGAACCTTCAGGTAAACTCCACATAGAAGTCTTCAGGTTAAATCCACATAGGAATCTTCAGGTTGGCTCACCAGGGTAGATTAGCATGTTAAGCTCACCTAGAGCTTCAGGCCAGAGACAGGTTACCAGTGAGGCAGCTCTCCCAGAGCTTCTGGCCAGAGACAGGTTACCAGGGAGGCAGCTCTTCCAGAGCTTCTGGCCAGAGACAGGTTTCCAGCGAGGCAGCTCTCCCAGAGCTTCTGGCCAGAGACAGGTTACCAGTGAGGCAGCTCTTCCAGAGCTTCTGGCCAGAGACAGGTTACCAGTGAGGCAGCCCTTCCAGAGCTTCACGAGGAGACAGTAGGTTAAGCTCATCCAGAGCTTCACGAAGAGACAGGATTCCTGTGAGGCAGAAACAGGGAAGAGTTAGAATCTGATCTCACACTAGAGATAACCAAGATTCTTCCAATAACAGAGGCTCAGGTTTCTAACCAACTAAGATCAACACTGCGGCATAGAAGCAAGGTCTGGCAGGAGTTTATAAAGGGGAGGTCTCCTGATGAGTAGATGGAAATCAGGTGTGCTGGAAGGTTCTAGCTCTAGAAGACCCACGGCGCACTCTGCTGGAGACAGAGGGTAATCTCCAGATCCCAACAGTAACTCCAGCCCTAAGGAGAAAATACAAAAAGCAAAAGAGGATCCTCGGCGCCCTCTGGTGGGCAAGCCTGAGGATCCCAACAGTTTTATAAACTCTGGGATATCTTTTCACAGAGCTATATTGGTAAAACAGGACACAAAAAAGTATTTTGGGACATACTTGGTTCTTGACTTTCGGGGAGATTTTTTATCATACACTTAAAGCTACAGTGTGTAATAATTACAGGGATATACAGTCAGAAATGTAATATATTATACATAACTATGTTATTTATCATCATCTACGAGCTCAGCCTCTTAACCTTAATATTTGCGTTGCCTTAGAATTCGTTATTTATAATTACATAGGAGCGGGTCTCGCAGCCATGGAGGCAGACATCTTTGCGCTACGGCAGCGCAGAGCCTACAAACTAGCGATTGCGAGATCGCCCATTACGCTCGAAAGTAACTACGGCAAGTTGAGAGAGATGAACTGAGACGGTACTGAAATCTATACCCTACACAGACTAATGAAATACTATCTGTAAAATTATCTATGTAAACAAACCTCATCACTTGAGAAGGTAGGTGATGCGGACGTTGTGGAAGACATTTTGTCCCGTAACGCTCGCCGTACTGTTGGGGGGGAGAAGCGGTGGGGGGGAGATGTTCATGTTGCTGCGGTCTGCAGTCTGACCGCTAGATGTCGCTGAAAATTACACACTGTAGCTTTAAAGGTGTCAAGGATATTTATTTTTATCTCTCTGCAGTCAGGATGGCCATTCCAAAGGCATTGCGGTTTGCTGTTTTGCTTCTGGTCATATGCTTCACTCTCGACCAACAAAGAATCAGGCAGTCTATGTCAACCTTCTTTGAGGTGAGCCTAACATTTTAACACACACATTTTACAATTATACAATATAATAGTTTAAAACACCTGATAGTTTCTGTTAATGATTGAGGTTTTTAAAAAATCTGGTGCGCTGAATTATTTACAGGAACTAAAGGATACTACATCATCCATGTTTCATGTAAGAGAGAAAAGAGAAAGTGAGTCACTGCAAACATTAAATGTCTATTTAATATCACTGTTGGGATTACAACAGGTATTCCAACAAGGATTACAACAGGTATTCGTTGCACTCTTTAATCATATCTATTTCCTTTCTAGCTCTCACAAATTTCACAGAGTATGACTTTGAAGTTGTCATAACTTACTCTGACCTTGAGAGTATCCAAATGTTTCTGAGCAATATGAGCTTTCCCATACCGATCAACAACACTGTGGAAATCACCAGCATTGAAACCACAACAGGTATATTACAACTCTTTTATTCCCCTTAAACCTTTGATTGGGAAAGATGCTATACATTTTTTTTTCCTACAGTGTGTTCACCAGGGATGAATGGGTACCAGTGCACATGTGAGGAGAGCTTTGCCTGGTCTTTTAACAATTGCATTACCTACGGAGTCTGTGATGCCATACTTGGTAACACATGTGGCTGCATTAATTCCCTACCTGCTGACGGTCAGTACTGTCAGTTAAACCGCAGCCAAACAGGTGAGTCTGAACGTTTTTTAGTCATATTTATTCTTAGAAATGTGTTATTACTTTTACCAAGATGCTGTCTTTTTATACCGTGTGACAATTACTATAAGGCATGAAATTCACATTAATCTGTTTTTGCACCATGTTTTTTCTCCCACACTGTTAACCTTTCATCTCTGCTGCACTTTGTGGAATGGAAATGTTCTGAAAGCTGTAAAAAACAAAATTTAGTTTTGTATACACTTTGTGTATACAAAATGACAATAAAAGTTGTCTAAGTCTAAATACAAATGATATCATATACCTTACTCTACGATACCAGTCTGAACATATTTAGTTACTTAGACACTTAGGTCTAGGAGATTAGATAAAGACAGCTACCAAATGCAGGTATGTTGCCGGCAAGCTCTAGATACAGATAAACATTCCCCACCATAAACTAGATGTAAGCAACAGATGAAGGAAAAGGAACAAAGAAAGAGGTGACTGATGGCATCTAGTGGTTAAACTAAATATTACAAATCATTTAATGAATGTAGTTCAGGGATGAATATTGTTTCATAAATAAGGTTAATAGTGGCCTGCCCCAACAAAGTATGTTGTAAAAATATCAAATATGAGGAAATGTTTTAGCATTAAATGAAAAACCTTGAATCCCTCTTTAAGTGCACAGGGAAACCTTCCCAGTGATTTAATATATGCGGTAGAGAGTTTTTCTGTTTGTTTGCTCACTTAAAGTGTATTACCCTTTACTTGATTTGAGGTGAACCAAATTCACCTAAATAACCTTTGGCCTCAGACCAACTACACACCAAGCAGCAGGCCACTCAAAATTTCCTAAGGAAACACCTAATATTTCCCTAATCCCGCTTTCTCTTTTGATAAAATGCTTTGTTGTTGTTGGGGCCTGCTATGGCTAAGCAAGAAGCATAAAATGCCACTGTGGCATTCTATGCTCTATGTAGTGCATATAGAAACCATTTTATTCTACACCTCTCAACTGGACTCTTTATATCTTCTTATATAAGATTGCTGCGCCCTAAAATGTAAGATACAACCCAAAAATACAGTAATCAAAATGCCTGGCCTTGACTTGAGATTTGCAATTACTTTGATTTTCATATTCCACTGCTAGGGGTGACGTAAGTTGCCAAAATCATTCCCAAAAATACCATAGGAATGAATGAGGAAACATACAGTTTACCTTTATGAAAAAGAGAAAACCATTATATAACTGAGACTCTACATACACAACTAATGATTGATTGAAGGGAAGGGATGACTATCGTTCACAATAAAAATCCATTTAAATTTTTTGGATCGGACTCAGATTTTCAGAAGTGTTTTTATCCTGAAAACTGTTGCCTGAATGTGACAGAATTAATTTAGCAGGACATCTGCAGCAGTGAGTAATCATTGTAATGGAACCCTGCCTCTGCTGAGATTGCTTAATGTTAATTAACACGGCAGTATTTTAAATTTGCCAAGAGATTTTTTCAAACACAAGAAACATTACAATAAAAAAATTATGATGGAAACATTGTGGTCATATAATGTGTTATATGCCAATCATATCACACCACATACAGGCCAATTTTGACTCAGAACATTTAGCTGTCAGATGGGAAACCTTGCCGAACCCCTTGAGGAATATATATTAATGTATCTGATTTCAAGTTTGTACTGTTTATAGCAACATTCAGATATTGGTAGAAAATAAAAATCTGTATTATTTGATAGATATTGCATAGGTATAAATTAGCAAAAGGAGGTGGGATAGCTTAAAAAGCAATACAAAAATATTTAAGGTTATTTGAAATATTTTATCATTTATTAACTCTACATCTTAATGAGCAAATTCATCAAAGTATGCCTGAATAATGGCTACTTTCTTAAGCTAGCAACAAGGTGACCTACACCTACAGAGAACAGCAAACATCAGACCACTTAAGACTTCCCAGCAGTAAAAGCTGATGCAATCCTACTAATTTTGTGTTACAGTTCCACAGTGATAAAAAAATGTGAAATCATCTTCTATAGAAGCAAATTATATGACACACTGATTTTTTTATGTGTATATGTTGAACCTCATGTCCTGAGTCTTATCTTATTATCTGTTTATTAGCATTACCCTTTTTTTCTAAAATTAGTTTATTTTTCATTCATTGCATAGATCCAGTGGAAAGCTATGTGAACATTGTTGTGGAAATCCCAGCCTCTAGTTTTCCATCATATGCACTCAGCTATGTACGAAGCACTGTGCAATCCATCTCCCTCCCAATAACCCTCTCACAGTCTCTTGAAGTGAAAGAGGTTTACTTAACAACACGTAAGAGTATTTTCTAATTGATTTACACTGGTGAATCAGATTTGATGTCTTAAAAATATGTGTGTTTCCTTTTCTTGAAAAAAGTCTGCAATCCATATTCTGCTGATGGTCACCAATGTCAATGTGAGACTGGCTTTAGTTGGCCATGTGACATGTGTAACAGCAGAAATTCATGCAGCAGTCAATCCTGTACCTGTATATATGGGCTTCCATCTAATGATGAGTTCTGCCAGGCAAACACAAGTAAGCATACTGTTTTTATAAGCCTTTCAAAAATGTGTTTATTTTTTATTTTTTTTAACTTCTTTTATATAGTTTTGTTTTTCTTTGTACTCCGCAGATGATACTACATGCGAGCCAACACCTACAACTTCCACAGGTACTTAAAACACGGAGACATGAATCGTAGATTACATTAGGGCAGAGTTACTGTTTGATTTAAGGGGAAGTTGCATCAGTCTAAATCCTCACATGCTTAATCCAGCTTGAAGGGAAGTAAAGCTATTGAAAGGATTAACATTTTTAATTCCATACCTGTACTAAAGCTAAAATATTGTAACAGTAATGGATTCAGAGCAATCAGAATTTACTAAGAAGGCCTGCCACTTTTTTTCCTGCTTGGTCATAGATTTTCCAGCTTCTAGTCATTTTCTCTCAAGCAAACCAGAAGATGGTGCTAGCCCTGATGCCTTCAGTATATCTCTTTATAGAACTGAAGAGACTGCAATAAAGCACCAGGTCCTTGAGTCTTGAAGGCCTGTGCAGAGCAGTTCTGTAGGACTCTACAGTACCTCTTTAACCTCAGTCTGACCCAGGAGACAGTTCCAGTGATATTTAGGACTTCATGTCTTGTTCTGGCACCAAAGAAATATAGACCTATAGACTTGTTGCCCTGATATCCCACAGTACAGGGTCCTAGAGAGAGAATTGTTGATCCACCTGGGCAAGCAAACTAGCGTCAACGATCCCCTGCAGTTTTGCTTTTAGCAATAGGGTAAGAGTTGACTTCCATAGTTCCTTGAAATTGCTTTTGTGCAGAAGTAAATGGACAGGATACATCATATCTCGGATGGATGGATGGATGGATGGATGGATGGATGGATGGATGGATGGATGGATGGATGGATGGATGGATGGATGGATGGATGGATGATGGATGGATGGATGGATGGATGGGTGATATTAAGGGCACTCATCAATTTTAAGTTATCCATTAGTTGGCAGAATTTCCTTTTTAAACATTTTCCTTGGTTTTCATGTATAAGCATCAACCTATATAGGTGACCAGTAGGACATGGAAAGGTTTTAAGCAAAAAATGTAAACATGGACTAGAAGGGGATTTTCTGTAATGACTCAGTACAGAGAGACCAAGTATTAAGGCAAGACAGACAGTGGGATAATTAAAAAGAAAATTATTAAAGCAACGACTAACAGTTTGTGGATCTGCAGCAGCACCTGCCAGGGCGTCCGAGGCAGGTAATTCTGGATTAGAGTTCAGTCCGTGCCCAAAACATGAGATTCATACAAGCTGGTCAGCTGACAAGATGCAGCGCTTGCTTGTGTCTTTTTATCTGATGTGAGGTGAACCAAACCTAAAGAACCTATAGCCTTGGTCCAACTACACAGCAAGCAACAGCCACGCAAAATGTCCTAAGGAAGCATTGAATATTTTCCAAATCCTACTCTTTCTCTTTTGATGAAATGCTTTGTCTAGCTACTCCTTAATGTCCCGGGATCTTTCTGCATGGAGTTTGCATTTTCTCCCTGTGCATGCGTGGGTTCTCTCTGGGTACTCCACCTTCCTCCCGCAGTCCAAATTCACGACTATGATGTTAAATGGCTTCTCTAAACTCTCCTTAAGTGTGAGTGTGTGCGTGAATGGTTGTTTGTCTTGTTTGTCTCTGTGTTGCCCTACGATAGAGTGGCGACCTGACAAGGATGTACCTCGCATCTCACCTCTAGACAGCTGAAGATAGGCACCAGCACCCCTCGCAACCCCAGCAGGGATAAAGGGAAAATGGACGGCTTTGTTGTTGTTGGGGCCTGACATGGCTAAGCAAGAAGCATTTACATAATACCACTGTGGCATTCTATGTGCATTGAATAGACATCTATTATTCTATACCTCTCAACTGGACTCTTTTTTTTATCTTCTTCTCTCTTCAAGATTGATGCAGCCTTAAATGTAAGATGCGCCCCCAAAATATAGTTATCAATATGTCTGCCCTGGACTCGAGATGTGCCCAATTACTTTTGTTGTCATATTCCATTGTTAGGGGTAAAGTAAGTTGCAAAGACCCTACCCAAAAATACCATAGGAATTTATGGGGAAAGGAGAGGAATGAAGCTCCAAAATTAACTACTGTACTCATACTTTCACCCCCAAACACAGTTCACCTTTATGATAAAGTTAATTCCATCATCTTGTATCAACTGTACATACACAACTAATGATTGAAGGGAAGGGTTGACTGTCGCTCACGATAAAAAAAAAAAAGATCCATTTACATTTTTTGTATGGGACTCAGGTGTTCAGAAGTGTTTTTATCCTGAAAATGTTTGCCTGATGGGGACAGAATTAAATTTAGGTTGATATCTGCAGCAAGGAGTAAGTACTAGTAATGGAACCCTGCCTCTGCTGAGGTTACTTAATGTTGATTAACAAAGCAATATTCTAAAATTGCCAAGAGATTTTCATAACTTAAGAAACATCACACATAACAATAAAAAATAGTGATGGAAATATTTTGGTCATCTAGTTTGTCACATGACATATCACCCAACACACAGGCCAAATTCACTCAGAACATCGCCAAACCTCGGGAGAAATATATATCACAGTGACCGGACGTCCTCCTTTTACCAAACATGTCCTACTTTCCATACCTAAAAAAATGTGCGGGGGGAATTTCAAAATCGTAGAGGATTTTGGTCGACTACAGTGCAGCACGTAGTCGAAACATACCGGGCCCTCGAACCGAGCCGCCAGCTCCGGGGCTGGAACCACAGTGCAGGGGGGCAGAGAGCCAGTGGAGGTAACAGAGGTTGGATGCAGCGTGTCCGACGTCTCGGTGGAACATCATCAGATCTGTCGCTTTAAAACATCTGCTCTGCGGTCGCATTTCACTGCTCACAGAAGAAGCTGGTTGGAGGAGAGACACACAGCAGCACTCAGTAAATTTAACCAGCTGCAATAGCGTAACTATCTGTAAGCAGAGACTTCAGTTGCTAAGGGGCCCCGTCACTGACACCTGGTTGGCTCACTGCGCAATTGTGGTCTAGGATGTCTATTTGCAGGTGTAAAGGTGTGAAATTCCTCTTAAGCCCACCTGATACTAGATTGACTTACCAGACTTTATTTATACCGCAATAGATGGCAGATTTCAACAGGACAGTGAGCCGTTACACAATTAGCGAGGCAGACAGCGGTACTTTACTATGTTAATAACTGTGTATCAGTGGCGGCCGGCCCATAGGGGGCGCTGGGGCACCGCCCTCCCTGATAAGAAGAGAGAAACGTAAAATATATTTTTAGAAATTAACTCACAAATGTCAGTTTTACTCTCTAGACTAGACTGTGTACCTATAAGCAAAACAAATTATATAAACTACATTTCCCTATCTACTGTCATTAATTTGTGGATTTCCACAGACAGACTCCAACCGTCTCTGTTCTGGGGGCGTTGATCAGACTGACCCACATTTGCAGAGAATCTGTCAATCATGTACTATTGCTAGGTGAATTTAATGGCCAATCAGCGTCTCGGAACTTTATGGTATTGGGGCGCTGAAAATACTGCGCTTTAACAGGCTTCTGAACCCAAGCGCAGGTGCAGACAGTTAGAGGAAGGATGGCGAATGTAACGACCGAGATGCAGCTTCCACCAAATTCGGTGAGATCCTTATTTATCTACCCGTTTGCCAGAAGAATATCCCTGTTGTAGGATATGAACATTTCATGTCATGGTTATTGTGACTGTGACGAATCCACCTCGTCGCTTAAAACAACCTCTCTAACTTTGCGCGCCACACACACATTCCTGTTATACTGTGTTTGTGAGGACCAATACACTCGCGCTGAGACCAGTAGCTCCATGAACTTAAAACACACAAGCTGTTCCTGGTTACCTGCTGGCATATTGAGGGTGCACACTTAATATTTCAGTGGGGTTAGCCGTGTGTGTGTGTGTGTGGGGGGGGGGGGGGTGTACGTGTTTATGCTACGGGGACTTGTCATCTTCAGTCTTGCTGCGTCTTTGCTGGGTTCAAACCCAGTTTGGTGTAATTGAATAAGTCAATGAATCTGTGTAAAAGAATTAAGTTGTAAAAATTATTTGTTTTTGTACATCAATTGTTTGTGGAGGTAATATATGGACAAAACTGTTTAATGAGAAGAAATCAGAAATAAGAGAGCCTGATGTGAGGGGCTTAAACTATTTAATGAGGGCTGTGGGAAGAAAAGCGGCAATTTTTGTTTTCTGTTTCTTTGTTACATTGCTGGTAACTGGAGGGAGGCTGAGGCCCAGAGTATCTTGTATGTTTAGTTTCTTTTGCACCCTGTTTTGAGTTTTTGAGCTCAATAAATCACCAACACCGGTAATCCGACTGAGACTGGATTCTTGGAGGCCAAAGAACCCCGTCACAGTGACCCAAATCATCACTGTTACTGTTATTATATAGTAAATTAAATCATTACTGTTAAATTGTATGTATTGTCCAATTGTTTATTTGAATTCTTATTCCGGATTAGTTGGAGACATACACTAGGCTATATCAGCCCCACCAAAAATATTTTTCACCAGCCTCCACTGCTGTGTATAGTTCATTAGACAGTTGGTAAAAAAAAATACACTCAGATAATATTTTTCAAACCGCAATAAAGATCTTAAAAGAATGATGTAGCCTATTTGAGTATTTAAGTTTTTACACTACAACTTGGAATTATGGGTAACCCAGAGCGAAGATTAAAATCATAACCGTTACATACAATGTGTTAGCAACGATGGATACCAAAAAGCGGTACTTAAGCGGATTCCAGAAAAGAAAAAGTTAAGAAGAACTGCTGGAAGAATGGAAGAAAATTCCCAAAATAGGTGCACCTTGCTGCTGCAGTGAATGAAGATTGCTACCAGGAGATGAATGGAGAGAGTGTGGGTGAAGAGGGGAGCTGTGAAACTCAAGGTAGCCCAATCACACTGATTTTACAGCAGAATATACTAAAGTAAGTGAAGGTTAAGAATGATGAATTGGTAAAGCGTTTATGTATGGGGAACATTTCTGATCGGTTGTCAACGGCAATTACGGCGGCCTTACTCCTTTGCGTTGACGGTAGCCTGGACACCGGCACTTTTCGCTTCAACACCCAGAAATACAGACAAATCACTGGTCACAAGACGAGCGGCTTTTCGGTTGACACACGTGATTTTTGCCACACATCCATTCTTGAAGTGGACAAGGCAGGTCTTTTCGAAAATTTGTCAGAATCCTCCACTATACCTGTAAATGTCTCAGGAAGACATTTTATAATTTCAACACCATTATTTTTGGCCTCAGCATCACCGTAAAAACCTGACACAAGAGTCCACCTTGGGTGGAAGGTCTAAGTACCATAATCCAGTAGCCTAAATTGTATAACTTGATTACCTGAGTAGATTTTCCACTGGGTAGGAGTAATGACTAAAGGAATATGTTTCAGATCTTAATACATATATTATCTTTTCCATGTGGTAAAATACCCTTATTATTTTTCAGCCATAAGCTTATAAAAACTTGGCTCTAATTTGCTCCCACTTAATTGTAATCCATTTCAGGGCTGCTGTAAGAAGAACATTTAAGCTATGATTGGGCTCTTCCTTGTAATCCCATTGGAAATATGCAGATTAATGCAACTGTTGGGATAACCAATGTTGTGCTAGTTCATAGTTAAAAATGACGAGCTCAAAATTCAGTTCACACAGATGAAAATTAACTAGATCATACATCGATTTCAGTTTTTCAAAAATTAGCTAAGTTCAAAAAACCTATAAATTACCAAGTTCAAGTTTGTTTGATAAATAAAGCCACAATCCTACACAATAGAACCTCATATTTCACCCTTTATATGTGTGATCATAACATATAGAAATAAATGTAAAATACTCATTGCATTGAAGGTATATTTTATATGCAGTGAAGGCTTTATTTAGCCCAATAACACAGAACTTCAAAAACATACAAGAACATTCAGGTTCTGCGAAAAGATCTGGATCCAAAATTATCCCTTACGTTCCTCATTTAGTTGCAGATATTTCCCAAGTCAGCTTGGATGCTTTAACTCAATGTGTCGCTTTAAATTTGATGTGGTCATGATGATGTGTCTCCGTGGGCACAGTTTGCACAAAAAAATTTGATTTAGTTTTTCCTGTCTGAATCTTTCTTTGTTAGTTTATATTACTGTCAAGCGCTCTGCAAAACTGGCATCCGACACACCAGTAGATGAGTCTGAATTGTGCACACTAGTACTAGCAGTAGACATGCTGGTCTGTCATGCTGTTTGCCATAAGAAGTGCTTAAAAACCTGATTTTATCCAATGAAAAGTGCCGTTATTATTTGAACGTGAATGTCAGCTGTATGTGTTGCTCATTACACTTCTAAATATCTGTTAGTCAACATCACTCTCCTTCAATACTTTAAAACGAATCCGTTCAGGTCACCACTCACTAGACATATGAACAAACCTGGTGAATTATCTACTGACAGGTAGATCCAGGTAAGATGTCATATTAAGTAATTTCCCTCTGGGATTATTAAATTATTAAAGCATATCTGATAATCTTGTGAATTTATATTCTGTTCAATTCCCACCCCGCTGGAAATGTATATTTCTTATACTGTAAGATGTTTATTTCAGCAGTGGGAAATATCTTATTTTATGAGATATTATTTTGACTGTTATATATTGTTTCTGAACATCCGCCCTACTAGCTGTGTGTTAAAGCAATAAATGAAAGAGTCATTTGAGCACTTATCATGGTCAAACAGTTAATTCTGCACATACATGTAATAAATTCACCACAACTTCTGTTTAAAATATAAGAGTTTATTAACAAAAATCATTCAGCTCCACGTCAAACATATTTCTGTTTAACACTCACAACTAAGACTAGTAAAACTCAACTAAACTAAACTACTATGTACAAAGAGGAAGTGGAAACATGATTGAAAACCATATTACAGTTTAAGATGGATTTTAAGTTTGAAAACCAAAGTTTATCTAGAAGAATTTGGGACATTATCAAATTAGCTTTTCACAAATTTAAAGAAATTGGAATGTTTTTAGACCAATTTACCATGCAAATCAATGAGGAGATTAAAACATTATTTGGCCAAATAATGGAAGGTTGAGTTTCCATCCAGCTGGAGTTTAGCAGGCAGGCCACAGCAAGGCAGTCTCTCTCTGTCTTAGTGGCTCACAGCAGGGGTCTTCTTTGTCTCAGTTTCTCATCAAGCAGGATTTCCCATCCAGTCTGGCTCTATAAGTTCTGAAACTCAAGAGAAATGTGTTGCAAAAGGTCTGTTTTGCAGTAGTTTGGTTCTGAAAGGTTCTGACCTATCCTTGATGATTCTGGAGATCTGGTCCCCCCTGGGCCTTGGATCTCCACTGTGGTGGAGGGGTGGTCACACCGCTGTGGGCTACCATGTGACTTGCCTGTGGAGGCCTGGGCTGAAAAGGGGAGGCTGCAGATGTTCCCCAGCTGTTATTCACCAAAACTGCGTCCTCTTCTCTAGTCATCATGTGAAGATGAAATGTGGACACTGATTCCCAATGTCCAAACACCATGATCATAGCATATGGCCCCACACCATTTCTATTTGAGATCCTTTTTTATGAACAGCAAATTTAAGAACAAGGAGAAATGTCGGTGAGCAAAAAACACAGTTAATGATAAAATGCCTCTGATTAATTGAACTTACCATTCAACAGTTGTTTCAAAGGAGGCTTGTTTTGTTCAAATTATTCTATTCATGCAGGTGTGAATATGTATTTGTGAAAATAAGAAAAGACCAGTGTTGGGCACGTTACTTTGAAAAGGTAATTAGTTATAGTTACTAGTTACTTCTCCCAAAAAGTAACTGAGTTACTAACTGAGTTACTCTACAATAAAAGTAACTAGTTACTAGTAAAAGTAACTATTGCGTTACTTTTGCGTTTCTCGCCCCCGTACCCTCACCACCCAGCCCCCACTTTCTCGCGGTGTGTTTCCAAAGCCAGCTGAATAGAGTAGATGACAAAGACAAGAACCTACAGAGAGTTTTGCATTTATTGCAACTCAATGTAAATGACATCAGGGGGGAACGCCATGTGAAGTTTTTTAACAGGGCATTCAGATCTGGTGAAATTAATAACTGGGGATGTCTAATTCTGAAATCCTGTGTGTTTGGGTTGTTATAGATACTGCAACATCTATCTATCTATCTATCTATCTAGATGTATACTCTGCGTGTGACATAAAATATGGATCTCCATCCCTGCCACAAAGGCCATCAAATAATGTTTAAAATAAAAAATACAGTAGGTTGAAAAGGCAGAGTATCCATCCATCCATCCATCCATCCATCCATCCATCCATCCATCCATCCATCCATCCATCCATCCATCCATCCATCCATCCATCCATCCATCCATCATCCATCCATCCATCCATCCATCCATCCATCCATCCATCCATCCAGATTTCTCCCTTTCTCCATATAGGCTATCATTTGATCGTTCACGCTCTCCATAGTTCTCCTGTGGCGCGAGCACAGGGCGACTGTTGCGCGCCTTTAGCGAGCATGCGCGTTTCCTGTCGCTTGCGCGGTGACTCTTGCCGCCTGCGCTGTGCGGAGATGCAGAGGAAACCGTTATGTGGTGGGGAAACGCAGCTCGACGTAACACCGGTATTTCCATGTGGAAAACGCTGTTTTGCTGCTGGAGTCTTCCTCACTCTCCATCTCTCTGTGTGTGCTGTACGTTAACACCCGCCAGCAGAAACACCCACCTATTCAACTGACAGACGGAATCTCACTATACATCAGCCATTCTCATCCTCCCCTCTCTCATGACAAGGCGCGCACCTCTGGATGACCTAAAAAATAATCTTTAATATCTCTTAAACAAAAGTAGCACAAACAATATTTTTTCTGCACAAATCTGCAACGTTGCACTAACCATTCAGTCTATTTGCAGAGTTTTTTGACGTGGGTGGGGTGTCAGCTTCACGCAGCTGCGCACGAGTCCTATCATGAAAAAAGGTTCATTGTGCGACCTGAGTAACGTGCAGTAACGGGGTGTCTGCAATGGTAACTGCGTTATAGTTACAGTCAAAGTAATTAGTTAGATTACTCGTTACTAAAACAAGGTAACGGCGTTAGTAACGCGGTATGCTAAATTAGAGATTTTGCTTGTAGCATGTTTTGTTTTACTAAGCCAAATGCCTGAATCATCACTGATGAGCCTAAGTCCAAAACACATCTGAACTAATCAAAGTTCACAAATTTAAAACTGTCAGTGCAGCATGGTTCCTTCATGTTACTCACTTATTAAAGTGATAATTTAAGAGCCCTCCTTTTAGTGAGGTTTCACATAGTTTGTTTTCAGGAAACAATCTGAATTTGTTTGGGTAATAGGTAACATTTCATGAAGTAATGCCTTTCTCCTGCTCATAGCTATTCTTTTAGCCTTACTGCAACAAACTGCATGTGCTCTCATTTATCCTGACGTGATAACAGGCTCAGAGTTAATTTGCTTCTTTTCTTAACAAAGCCACATTTGGAGATAGTCAACCAATGTCTCTGCTAACATGGGAAGTTGTTATCGATCAGTGCTTCTATATATGTTTCCTTTGTGTGTGTCTGCTCCGTCGGCTCAAATTCCTAGTTGGTCTTGGCAAAAGGCAATTCAAAAGACAGGCTGGTTCTTATAGAGGTTTCCTTCTGTTGAAAGGAAGTTTTCTGCTCGCCACTTTTGCTGCATGATCATTTAGTAAGAGGGATTGCTGCAAAATCAATGACCTGATGCAATTAGCTGGGTTCCCTTAATTAGAAAATTTTCAAACAATCTGTCTATATGATTTAAATAAATTGTCTCTGTAGTACCTTAAACAAATGAATTGAACTCAATATACTCACATATCATTTTATCCCCCAAGTTTTTTTACATTATCTTTTTTTTTCAGTTATAACAACAACCATCCCAACCACAACATCTCCTCCACGAACCTATGGTATGATCTAACTCATTCTAAAAGGAGCTAAGTAAGCACAGAGTGCCAAGGCAAAAAAAAGGCAAAAGATGTTTAGAATGTAGTCAATACAAATGCAGTGCTGTTGGTAATCTCAATTGTTTTGGAATTTTTATTTGTTAACTTCAACAGAAATAGATTTGGTTTTGGAATTACGCATCCCCCTCTCAAGCTACACATCAAATCTATTGGATGTGTTTAGGGAGCATCTGAGCAATGAAACCTTCCTGGAACCATTCTCAAACATGTTACAGATTATAGAGTTGAACTTGACCACAGGTAGGAGTGTCTGCTTCTTTAAGGCTTGTCTGCCTTGTTGAATTTGAGCTTGAGAATAAAGTGATTTATGGCTTTCATCTTTTTAAATATCCATTAGTCTGTTATCCAAACTCCAGCCATGGACTACAGTGTCAATGTGAGAGTGGCTTTGCGTGGCCATGTGAGATGTGCAACATCAACACTTCATGCAGCAGTCAAATCTGTACATGCATATATGGACTTCCTTCCAACAATGACTTCTGTCAGCCAATCACAAGTGAGTACAGTGTCCTGCTTTGTTGCTGCTCACATAAGGTTGGGTCTTTTTAAACCCAAAGAGTAGCAGTTGTCATGCTGTCCAAGAATTAACTTTTTTGTTGTGTATTGTGATATCTGTGTAAAATAAATCAAGTAATCTAATTTCTTTCCCCACAGTTAACTCTACATGTCCAACAGTTCCTCCAGGTATGCTAAACAAGGAAATATTTGTTGTATTTTAGCTTTAACAATCAGAAGGGTGTCATTTTACTGTGTTGGTTTTCATGTAACTATTTTATTATTTCACTCTGTCTTATTATACTACATTTTATTTTGCACTATTAGATTTACAATGTTATTTTTCTCTCTTCTTTAAACCTTTGCACTGAAAGAAAAGAATTTCCTGCAACGGATTAATTTAATTTCCTGCAAGGGATTAATACAATAATTCTAATTCTCAGTAATTCTGATTGTCATCATCAGCGATGAGCATATATATATATATATATATATATATATATTTTTTATACATATATAAATATATATTTTTTATTTATTTTTTTTACCCTGACCCTTTACCAGCTTTTCCTTACAATACCACATATGGAGCTATTCTACCATCACTTTCTCTTCTGTATTTATGAATGATTCTACTGTGTGTTCCTTTTATATGTCTGCTCCATCTGCTCAAACTCAGAGCTAGTTAAGGCACAATACTTTCAAACTGAACCATGTTCTTCTGTAGGTTTTTTCGTGTTAAAGGGAGTTTTTCCTCTCCACTGTCACTGCATGTATACTCTGCATAAGGGAATCCTGCTAAGTCAATGACACCATGGAGGTGACTGTCCACTGTTTTGACAGGCTCATCCAGAAAGAGAGAATTCTGCAAGGTCATTGACTGGTTGAAATCATATGGGGTTCCTTACTCAGAAAACACTTAAAGGCACACTATGCAACATTTTTCAGTTAATTAATGTGTTCCATAACGTTTTGGATGATTAAATGACCCAACACAGAAGAGCGGCCGCCTCTGGACAAGACTCTGCAGTACACCTACACCTTGTGGACAAAGGACATTCTTTTGAGGACCAGAATGTCCATATTCTGGATAAAGAAAATAGGTGGTTTGAGAGGCGCGTGAAGGAAGCTATCTATGTTAAGAGAGAAAAACCAACTTTAAACAGAGGTGGTGCACTCACATTCCAGCTTCCAAAAACATACAATTCAATCATAGACATGATCCCTTCCAGATATCACCAAACCCCCCACCCCATCACAGAGGAACGAGGGACCTACCCGCTCCAGCCGGTGAACAATACCTCCTTAACGACCGACCCTTAACAATCATAGACAGGTTTCAGGTATTACAGGAGACAATCCCCCCTTTAATGGCAATCCCCCCTTTAACGACCGCCCCCTAGAATCATAGACAGGTTCAGATATTACAGGCTAACGATGGAACTAAACGACCCTTTCATCTGTTACCATTTGCATGTTTCCAAGCGATACAAGGCCTTGTCCATATAAGACTCAAACTCACTGCGGATCCAGACATTTGAATTGAGAAAGCTTCCTGGAGAGGTGGCGAAACGTCTTCAAATCTTGAAAACCAAGTCCAGTGGATATTTTTTGAATTTTTACGGAATTAAATGAGTCATTACGGGTTGAACAAAGGTATTCTCGGCCGCCCTGGTGGTCTGTGGGGGAAATATCGCACTTCCAATTGCAGGAGCACCGACCTGCACCCACAGGCTCAGAAGTCTCGCGAGAGTTGGTCTTGCTTTACGGCGAGAACTGCTACACCCCCCAGTTAAAAGCATGCTCGTTGCTAGCACAATGGCGATCTTTGTGCAGTGCTGCGTTCACACCGGACGCAGCAAAAGCAGTAAAATCGCGTCTGCTGCTTCATTTTTACTGCTTGTACCAGTTAGTTCTGACGCGCGGCTGAAGCAGCTTTGCTGCTCTGGCTGTGCGGTGCAAAAGTGTGTCTGACGGCGTTGGGCGGAGCTTCACTATCCTTTCTCTGCCTTGCAGCTATATTTGCTGTGATCAGTGGGAATAAAGTAGTTTTAATATGTTTTTAAGTGAGAAAATACACCTGAAAACGTAATCAGTGCAGTCAGTTCATTCAGATTATTATCCTGCCTTCAATATTTTTTCTGTCGGAGCCGCTCAGACCCCCACATACCAGCGGTGCGCCGACAGTAGGAATCCCTTCATCAGCAGCCTCTGGCCGGGTCGCCTCCTCGCGGTTCACCGCGGCAGCTGGTAGGTGTTTTTCATCTAAATAATACAAACTGCAGGCAGCAGGATAATAAAAGCAAACATATTCTGCCGGCAGATTTCTGCATTTTAAGTTAATTTAGGCGTCAATAAACTGTTTAGAGGAGTGATCATAGCGCTCTGATCATCAGCGCTGTGTCTCTCTCCCTGCCAGCTTCCAGATCAGCTTCTCTGATTGGTTGACGCGGCGCGTCTAGCAGCAAAAATTCAATTTTTCCATCTCGAGCAGCAGCGCGTTTGTGGCGCGTCACGCGCGTCAGATGCTTAGTCATTCGTTGCGTTCGCCTGTCTGCTAAGCTCAAAACAACCGCGCCTGGCTTGACGGAGAAACCAGGAGAACAGCTGTGCATATTTACGACAGTGCACTTTTACTTTCGCCCTCTGGGGGAAGCCTCGCTGGAAAATCAACACCGGTTGCATAGTGTACCTTTAACCAAGCTGTCTGCATTATTTTATTGAATTGTCTCTGTAAAATGCATTGAGATGATGTGTCCTGAATTGGCACTATATACATAAACTGAACTGACCTCAGTACAGTCAGGGTACACAGGGATCATTAAGTTATGCTACATAATCTTTGTTTCATTATTTTCAGATATAACAACAACCATCCCAACCCCAACATCTCCTCCACAAATCTACGGTATGATACAACGCATATTTTATAAGCAAATCAATAAAGATGCAAAGAGTTTAATAAAGACTGCAAACAAATTCCAAGTTGCAACACAAACTGTATTTTTTTATCCAAATTTTGTCATGCAAAACTACATTATGGATGTGGTAAATAAAAAAATATTTTGGTAAAAAAAAAAAAAAACTTTGCTCCTCAGATGTAATCTTTTGGTAGTCTTAATTATTTTGGAATTTTATTTGTTTACCTCAACAGAAATAGATTTGGTTTTGGAATTACGCATCCCCCTCTCAAGCTACACATCAAATCTATTGGGATTGTTTAGGGAGCATCTGAGCAATGAAACCTTCCTGGAACCATTCTCAAACATGTTACAGATTATAGAGTTGAACTTGACCACAGGTAGGAGTATCTGCTTCTTTAAGGCTTGCTTATCTCATTAAAATTTTGCTTGAAAATAAAGTGATCTATGGTTTTCATCTTTTGAACTTCTCAACAGTCTGTTATCCAAACTCCAGCCATGGACTACAGTGTCAATGTGAGAGTGGCTTTGCTTGGCCGTGTGAGATGTGCAACATCAACACTTCATGCAGCAGTCAAATCTGTACATGCATATATGGACTTCCTTCCATCAATGACTTCTGTCAGCCAATCACAAGTGAGTATTCTGCTTTGCTGCTGCTCATACAAGGTTGGGTCTTTTTAGTCCCAAAGGAGGAGGAGTTGTCATGCTGTCCAAAAATTAATATTGTTTGTTGTGTAATGTGATATCTGTCTAAAATAAATCACATAATTGGAGAACAGCCTAACATGACTTCTGTCAGCCACTCATAAGTGAGACTAAACTGATTGCTAGTTTTACTCAACCCAGTCTCATGGGAAAATGTACCCCCACTACGTTGGTCCACACTGCAAAACGTAGTGGAGGTACATTAATGGCCATTTTTTTGTGGTACTGTTACGTTTCTTCTACTTATACGCTTTCTATTGTTTTACGTCCTAGTCACGTGACTTTCAAGATTCCAGGTGGGAGAAGAAAAAAATATATATATAGATGGCCGACATTCGCTCATTTTTTGTGGAAAGATTAATGACTTGAGTTTGTTTTTGCATTAAAATGAGTTTTGATTACATTTCTAGTGAGAAATGTATAGTTTGTTACCAGAATATTTACTCGGGGAATGTACATATTCACTTGCTTGTTCGTTTCTTGCAAAGATTTTTCAAGATAATGTGAAACTGTAACATTTTGGTATAAACATGGCTGAGATTTCTCTAACTTTTAGTGGGAAAATCAATAATTTCAATCAGTTTCTGCATTTAAATGGGTTTTTGATTACATTTATAGCGAGAAGTGTAGGGTTTATTTACATAATATTTACTTAGTGAACATACATAATCACCCGCTTGTTAGTTTTTGCTACGTTTTTCGGATCTCGTCAGGATTATGTGAAATTGCAACGTTTAGGCTGCTACACATCTCCTGTGATTTAACTCCATCTGACGGATCAAACCCTCGCCACTGCGGCGTTGCGTCTGAGGTTGGTTTTCAGATCAATGCATTACGTCGTGGTATACGGGAGAAACTAATTAAATTAGTTAAAAAAAGGATCATGGGTTAAGATCGGATGTGTTTTATTTGGAAATCTACCGGATCCTTTGTGCATTTCACTTCCTGTTTGGTGCGATCTCATTGATGGGTTTTGACCAGATTTTGACCAAAGAGGAACTAAAAAAAAAAAAATAATAATAATTTAAATACACAACCAGCATATCTGGAATCAATGACAGAGAGCATACATAATCACCCGCTTGCTAGTTTTTGCTACGGTTTTTCGGATCTCGTCAGGATTATGTGAAATTGCAACGTTTTGGCTGCTACCCATCGCCTAGCATTTAGCTGCCGCCCCGATTCAACATTGAATTCTTTGTGATTTAACTCCATCTGACGGATCAAACCCTCGCCACTGCGTGCGTTGCGTCTGAGGTTGATTTTCAGATCAATGCATTACGTCGTGGCATACGGGAGAAACTAATTAAACTAGTTAAAAAAAGGATCATGGGTTAAGATCGGATGTGTTTTATTTGGAAATCTACCGGATCCTTTGTGCATTTCACTTCCTGTTTGGTGCGATCTCATTGATGGGTTTTGACCAGATTTTGACCAAAGAGGAACTAAAAAAAAAACAAAAAACAATTTGAATACACAACCAGCATATCTGGAATCAGTGACAGAGAGCGACTGGGACCAAAAGTTTATTAATCTCTCCCCACTGATTTCCATTCAAAATGTTTTCGATCCCACCGGCCTCTAGGGAAGGGGCGGGCATACCGCCACCTACTGTTACTGAGTGTGTAGCAACATTGTTTTACATCTATTAAATTCTATTTTTAAATTTTGTATTCTGAAGATAAATAAATAATGCTTTCCTTAATCTATAAATATCTTTTATATTTCCTTTATTTCCCAATAATCCTTTAAGACTCCATTCTTGGCCTGTCCTCTTTTCAATTTCTTCCTTTCAGGTTCATATGTTTTGCAGTTCATCAATACATCTGCATTTTCTATCTCTCCATATCCTTCACATTTATCATTATTTTTCCTCCCTATTAAGTATAAATTGTCATTTAAATAAGTATGACCTACTCTTAATCTGATCATTATTATTTCTTCCCTTCGGTTTCTCTCATTAATATTTCTATTTAATACTGACTTTTGTACTTTATATAACCTTCTTCCTTTTTATCTTCATTCCATCTTTTTTTTTGTGCCATTTTTCAATTTCTTTCCTCTTAATAAATGATTTTCTTTCCCCTTTCCCTAAAGGAATTGTAATTGTTATTTGTCTACTTTTCATTCCAGCTAACTTTCCATTAATTAGCTTGAAAACAGCACTTTGTAGGCACCCAGTTTCTCTAACAATGGCCCTTTTTGGGTTACCCTCCATGCATTGGGTGTCAGTTCAGTTTTCTTAGGGTTGACCAGGCAGCACAATAATGTGCATGTGGCCAAAAAGTAATAGGGATCAAATTCGGTTCAGAGTCAAGCTATTGGGATCAGGCATCAGGTTCAATTTGCATATTTTCTTAGCCAAAACAAGGATTTGTTGGGCTACTGTAATTTTGAATTGAAAAACGTCCTGAATGGGAAGTCTTCAAACTTGAAAAACAAAGTCCAAAGTTTTTTTTTTTTTTTTTTTTTTTTTTTTTTTGGAATGATTATGACCTGGATGTCTAAGAATCTTCACCAGCTTATCAGGGAAATGAATGCCCACAATGTCTATATTCTCCAAAAGAGAATAACAGAACAGACCTTCACGAGGCCCTTGTTAAAGCTATGCACATATTTATGCATCTATGCTCATCAAATAACTTTCTGGTTCGACGCAACATTTACATTAAATGGGTTGAGAGGTTGTTCTTTACCAGTAAATACATAAAAGATTCCCAGATGACTGCCGATACAAACTCTCCCCTATAAAACCTGAAACTAATTCTTATAAGAGAGTAAAATCTGTATTAGTCTTCATTAAATGTAGCATATTGTTGTAAATAATCGATTGCTTTATTTTTGGTGTCAGCTTTTGGTCAATATGCTAACCTTAAAAGGTCAAAGTGGGAAAATGTAGTAGTAGTAGACAAATTAGCAATTAGAGGAGGCAATAACAATTACAATTCCTTTAGGGAAAGGGAAAGGAAAATCATTTATTAAGAGGAAAGACATTGAAAAATGGCAAAAAAAAAAGGTGGAATGAAGATAAAAAGGAAGAAGGTTATATAAAGTACAAAAGTCAGTATTAAATAGAAATATTAATGAGAGAAACCGAAGGGAAGAAATAATAATGATCAGATTAAGAGTAGGTCATACTTATTTAAATGACAATTTATACTTAATAGGGAGGAAAAATAATGATAAATGTGAAGGATGTGGAGAGATAGAAAATGCAGATGTATTGATGAACTGCAAAACATATGAACCTGAAAGGAAGAAATTGAAAAGAGGACAGGCCAAGAATGGAGTCTTAAAGGATTATTGGGAAATAAAGGAAATATAAAAGATATTTATAGATTAAGGAAAGCATTATTTATTTATCTTCAGAATACAAAATTAAAAAATAGAATTTAATAGACGTAAAACAATGTTGCTACACACTCATGAACAGTAGGTGGCGGTATGCCCGCCCCTTCCCTAGAGCCCGGTGGGATCGAAAACATTTTGAATGGAAATCAGTGGGGAGAGATTAATAAACTTTTGGTCCCAGTCGCTCTCTGTCACTGATTCCAGATATGCTGGTTGTGTATTCAAATTGTTTTTTGTTTTTTTTTAGTTCCTCTTTGGTCAAAATCTGGTCAAAACCCATCAATGAGATCGCACCAAACAGGAAGTGAAATGCACAAAGGATCCGGTAGATTTCCAAATAAAACACATCCGATCTTAACCCATGATCCTTTTTTTAACTAGTTTAATTAGTTTCTCCCGTATGCCACGACGTAATGCATTGATCTGAAAATCAACCTCAGACGCAACGCCGCAGTGGCGAGGGTTTGATCCGTCAGATGGAGTTAAATCACAAAGAATTCAATGTTGAATCGGGGCGGCAGCTAAATGCTAGGCGATGGGTAGCAGCCAAAACGTTGCAATTTCACATAATCCTGACGAGATCCGAAAAACCGTAACAAAAACTAGCAAGCGGGTGATTATGTTTGCTCTCTGTCATTGATTCCAGATATGCTGGTTGTGTATTTAAATTGTTTTTTATTTATTTTTTGTTCCTCTTTGGTCAAAATCTGGTCAAAACCCATCAATGAGATCGCACCAAACAGGAAGTGAAATGCACAAAGGATCCGGTAGATTTCCAAATAAAACACATCCGATCTTAACCCATGATCCTTTTTTTAACTAGTTTAATTAGTTTCTCCCGTATGCCACGACGTAATGCATTGATCTGAAAATCAACCTCAGATGCAACGCACGCAGTGGCGAGGGTTTGATCCGTCAGATGGAGTTAAATCACAAAGAATTCAATGTTGAATCGGGGCGGCAGCTAAATGCTAGGAGATGTGTAGCAGCCTAAACGTTGCAATTTCACATAATCCTGACAAGATCCGAAAAACGTAGCAAAAACTAGCAAGCGGGTGATTATGTATGTTCACTAAGGAAATATTATGTAAATAAACCCTACACTTCTCGCTATAAATGTAATCAAAACCCATTTAAATGCAGAAACTGATTGAAATTATTGATTTTCCCACTAAAAGTTAGAGAAATCTCAGCCATGTTTATACCAAAATGTTACAGTTTCACATTATCTTGAAAAATCTTTGCAAGAAACGAACAAGCAAGTGAATATGTACATTCCCTGAGTAAATATTCTGGTAACAAACTATACATTTCTCACTAGAAATGTAATCAAAACTCATTTTAATGCAAAAACAAACTCAAGTCATTAATCTTTCCACAAAAAAATGAGCGAATGTCGGCCATATATTTATTTTTTTTCTTCTCCCAGCTGGAATCTTGAAAGTCACGTGACTAGGACGTAAAACAATAGAAAGCGTATAGGCAGAAGAAACGTAACAGTACCACAAAAAAATGGCCATTAATGTACCTCCACTACGTTTTGCAGTGTGGACCAACGTAGTGGGGGTACATTTTCCCATGAGACTGGGTTGGTTTTACTATAACATTTTCTTATCCAAGGGAATTAGTACACTGTACCGTGTTATAATCACATATTCTGTTAAAAGCTGATCTAGCTTGGTTAAAATACAGTGTAGTCTTTATTATATCACAATGACTATGGCTTTACTTTTTCAAATAATCCCCTCTCATTGCTTTACAGATTATTCCATTTGCCCAACACCTACTCCAGGTATGTAAAGGATGTAGATTTGGCTTGAGCTAAAATATATGTTCTACTTTATTACTATTTAGTACAGCTTGAACAAGCTGAGTCTTTCAGAATTTCCTTCAAAACCAATGGATGAAAATCAGGACTTCTGAGAATGGAGGGTTTGATGTTTTGCTTTTAAGAGATGTCTTCATATAGAGGGCATTAAAAAAGTATTAATCAACACCTTAAGATTAGAGGAAGGTAAAAAAAAAACTATGGAGCTACTAACCAAAAACAACAACCACTGGTTGGAAATAAAATTCCAGAGCAAATTTACTTCATTATACTTTGCAGATTTACATAGTCAAAGGTTGAAGCTAACAAAAACTCCCCTTAGAAGTCTCAAAAAAGAGATTTGCCAATCCATTAGGGAAACTCATGGCTTTTCTTAATTTATTAAAGAATCTCATAAAAATATAAATGCTAAGTTGTTAGGCTAGCAAGCAAACCCATAGTAACACTTATTTGGATAAAGTTCTGTTTATTTCCAAAGGGGCAGGACAGAGGATAGTATGAAGTTTTCTTTTTTCCAGAATGTATGTTTTTCATTATCTTTAAACAAAACAACTGAAAGGATTAGAATAAATTGTGCATATTTATGTTTTATTTACAGTAACTACAACAACAACACCTATGCCAACGACGACACCTCCAACAACCTATGGTATGACACAATAAACCTTTTCAAAACAGGCCTTTTGTTTCTAAGAGCAATGCATTATTAATTCTAGAACACGCTCCAAAGCTCTGAGATTAAATATTATAGTAATTTAAGTGCTAATAATAAACAGGTGTTTCCTTCCACTTCTTTGGGGAATGCACATTTAGCAGACCCAGTACCAATATCTGCAGTGATTTTGCAGAAGGCTCCCAAACTGTAAAGCTGCTGGGTATACCTGGTCTTTAATAACAAAGGTCCTAACCCTAATTCTATTTACAGTTGATGAGGTTGCAACTTAAACAATAATCACATCAAATTAAAGATGTAACAATAGGCAATAGTGTGTCTCATAAAGGTAAGTAACAAGGTCAGCTTTCAATGACCTAAAAAACATTTCCAGGATTAAAGAACCAATTTCTAAGTAGGTCCTTAAAAAACTAATTCATGTCATCATCTTTAGTGGAATTGGTGACTGCAACTGAGTGTCTTCACAAGTCTGCCTACAAAGTCAATAACACAGCTGCAGCTGATCCAAGAAAGCTGCTGCCTGTGTCCTCACTAAGAAAGTGGAGAACATCAGCTTAGTTCTAAAGACCTTCCAACTGCTCTCTGTATCTCAGAGAAAAGACTTTCAAATACTTCTGTTAGTCTATAAATCACCAAATGGTTTAGCAACAAAATATATTACAGACTAATTATCAGTGCCCAGATCTTTCAGAGGGCCTACTCTGCACACTCAGGACCAGCACCAAACATTTAGAAGCAGCTTTTCCTTCTAATGCTCCACTAATTTGGAACGAGCATTTAAAAAAACTGTAAAAGTGCTAAAGTTTTAAGTCACTTTAAATCAGATTAAACATAGTTGTTTAGAGTGGCCCTTTACTGTATGACCTAAAAGTTTGTAGTCTATCTTTAATTGCACTATCAGCAATTGTATTCATTTTTACATATCTTGTAATGTACATTTCTTATTATTTACAGCACTTTGAATTGTCTTGCTACTGAAAGGTGATATATATATAAACCAATAAGTACAAACATGCTAAACCACAGTTTGCCTTCAAGCAAGCCTTTATAGTTTTCTTTTGCTGATAAGATCAAACATTACATCTTAAGAAATTTTGAGAAAGAAGTGAAGAACTTGTACTACTACAGGGTTCTCTTCATATTCATGCTTGAAACAAATTAATGATTGAAACAAAGAAACTTAAAACTATGACAATATTTCAAGTTGTCTACATTATCATTAAAATATTACTGCGTCTCTTCCTCTCTGCAGAACCATTATTCTTTGATGTTGACATTGTCTTGAGCATCCCAGCTGCTACTGTGCCATTAAATATCTCTGAGTCATTCCGAGGTGCTCTCCAAACAATAAACTACCCAATACCCATTTCACGGATAAATGTTCTGCAAGTAAACTTGACTACAGGTAAAACAAGCTGGTCACACAAATGTTTCTCTGTATAAATATAATAAATGATTATATAAAATACAGGTGGATGATTTTCCTTCTTTGATATCTTTATCAGTCTGCATTCCAAACTCCTATGATGAACTGCAGTGTGAATGTGAGGGTGGTTATGCTTTGCCATGTGACATGTGCAACAGCAACAACTCATGCAGTAACACCAGCAGTTCAACCTGTACATGCATAAATGGACTTCCTCCCAATGATGAGTTTTGCCAACCAGAAACTAGTAAGCTTTCTGTTCTGTTGCTTTGCTAATTGATTAAGCACACACAATTCTGGTCTAAGACAAAAATGTTTAATCTCTTGCTCTTCACAGATAACTCTATATGCCCAACACCTACTCTAGGTATGTAAAAGATAAACAATTAGTTGAGCTACAGCTTATGTTGTGAAGGTATGATAAATACTATACTTATGTTTAAAGACTTTGAAGAATTTGACATATTTCTTTTTTAATTCTGAGTGCTCTCCATGCGATAGACGCTCTTTTGTTCTGGTTGGTGTTTTACTTTGCCTCTTTTCTCTTCCTTAGTGTTTCTAATAAGTGTAGACTTATAAGAAGCACTTATATATCTTATAAGGGAGATTATTGGGAATTACTTAGTTTCTCTCTCTTTCTCGTTCTCTCGTTCCCATAATTCTTATCCCCTCCACTTTCCTCACCTTCCTTTCCATCTCTGTGTCCATTGCATGTTTTCATTTTTGGTCCCAAAGTAATTTCTAATAAAGGTTCAAACACAATTATCACATGGAATCTTATGACAATTAAATTCAATTGAATTGCTGGTCCTATAAGGTTATTGGCCCATGTCCAACCCTGTCAAGAACTGCCTGAGATAAACTTTATCCTTGAACTGCATTGAAAATGCAGTCAAATGCACCAATATCCAATCATTAAAAAAAAAAATTGCAACTACCGGTAATATCAGACTTATTATAGTTGACTGATAGGCCCTATTCCCATATTTTCCTTTTCCAGAAAATCTGCTTTAGGCTGCTTCTGTATGGGCTAAATCTGATACATTTTTTGGTAGTTTTTAAAGTGCTGTTAGTCTGAACGGTCATGCCAGATTTTATCCTAACATAAAATAAAGTCACTGCCAGGACTCCAACTTCACATCTACAGAGATGTTTTTACAGCATTACCATCACAGATATTGATAATAGCTGTGCTTTTGTTTTCTTGTCTTTCTTTTTCGTTAATGGTGGACCCAAGAAGTTGTTGGCTCCCATTGCTCCAAGGTTTAAAAATAACATGGAGACCACATCATCATTATAATTTTTTTAACAGAGATTTATTGAACACCTCGAGTGACATTCACATTTATCATTACTTCATAAAGAGTACACTGCTGTGTGTTGCATACATTCATCTTTTGGGCAACATGTTTTTTTTTTTATTTCCTGGAGCATTCAAACTGAAATCTGATAGTTGTTGCATTTAATTAGCTGTCTGAAAACATTATGCAAAAATCATGTAATCAATCATGAAAAGAAAATCGAATTTAACATCACTGTTTATTAGTAGCATTTTGGAGGTCCCTACCAAGGAAAAGTAAAATAAATATCAATAGAAACATACAGAGACCTGCTTAGCCATCAAATTCCAAGAGCAAATGCACTTCACTACATTTACCACGTTCACATAGATAAATGCCAAAGTTGAAGAAAAAAAAAACTCTCCTAAGAAGGCTCAAAAAAGAGATTTACCAATTAATTTCAAGAATACTACAAAAAAATATATAAATGCTATGGTGTTAGGCTCGCAAACACACCCATAGTATCAATTATTTGGTAAAGAATTTCTTTATTTCCAAAGAGGCAGAACAGAGGATGGTATGAAGTTCCAGGTAGTCAGCTTCCCAGAATTTAACTGTATTTTAAATCTTTGAACAAAACAGCTAAAAAAGATTTGAAGAATTTGACATATTCCTTTTTAATTCACAGCAACCACAACAACTACAACAACACCCATGCCAACAACAACATCCACAACAACCTCTGGTATGACAAAACAGACCTTTTCAACACAGGCCTTTTTGTATTCCTTGTGGCATTGTAACATGGCTTCTAGAACAGGCTACAAAGTTCTGAGAATAAATCTTGTTTCAATTTAAGTTTTTTGCCTTTCAGGATTTACTAATAATAATCAAGTTCATACTTTTCCACTTCCCTGGGGAAAAAAGAATAACTAGATCTGTTTGCTTCTGCAGAACCATTGTTCCTTGATGTGGACATTGTTTTGAGCATCCCAGCTGCCATCGTGCCATCAAATATCCCTGAGTCATTCCGAAGTGCTCTTCAAACAATAAACTACCCTATATCTCTTTCAAGGATAAATGTTTTACAAGTAAACTTGACTACCGGTAAGAGAAGCTGGTCACACAGTTTTCTGGATAAATAGAATAGATAATATAAAATACAGATGGATGATTTTCCTTCTTTGATATCTTTATCAGTCTGCATTCCAAACTCCTATGATGAACTGCAGTGTGAATGTGAGGGTGGTTATGCTTTGCCATGTGACATGTGCAACAGCAGCAACTCATGCAGTAACACCAGCAGTTCAACCTGTACATGCATAAATGGACTTCCTCCAAATGATGAGTTTTGCCAACCAGAAACTAGTAAGCTTTCTGTTCTGTTGCTTTGCTAATTGATTAAGCACACACAATTCTGGTTTAAGGCAAAAATATTTAATCTCTTGCTCTTCACAGATAACTCTACATGCCCAACAACTACTCCAGGTATGTAAAAGATAAACAATTATTTGAGCTACAACATATGTTGTGAAGGTATGATAAATACTATACTGATGTGTTCTTTATTTATAGCTCTGAATAATAGTCAATCTTGGTTTTTCTTCCGATGTATGTATACATGTATCTGAGGGGTCTCCATGCGATAGAGCCTCTTTTGTTCTGGTTGGTGTTTTACTTTGCCTCTTTTCTCTTCCTTAGTGTTTCTAATAAGTGTAGACTTATAAGAAGCACTTATATATCTTATAAGGGAGATTATTGGGAATTACTTAGTTTCTCTCTCTTTCTCGTTCTCTCGTTCCCATAATTCTTATCCCCTCCACTTTCCTCACCTTCCTCTCCATCTCTGTGTCCATTGCATGTTTTCTTTTTTGGTCCCAAAGTAATTTCTAATAAAGGTTCAAACACAATTATCACATGGAATCTTATGACAATTAAATTCAATTGAATTGCTGGTTCTATAAGGTTATTGGCCCATGTTCATCCCTGTCAAGAACTGCCTGAGATAAACTTTATCCTTGAACTGCATTGAAAATGCAGTCAAATGCACCAAAATCCAATAATTTTAAAAATTGCAACTAATATCAGACTTATTATAGTTGACTGATAGGCCCTATTCCCATATTTATCTTTTCCAGAAAATCTGCTTTTGGCTGCTTCTGTATGGGCTAAATCTGATACATTTTTTTGTAGTTTTTAGTCTGAACGGTCATGCCAGATTTTATCCTAACATAAAATAAAGTCACTGCCAGGACTCCAACTTCACATCTACAGAGATGTTTTTACACTATTACCATCACAGATATTGATAATAGCTGTGCTTTTGTTTTCTTGTCTTTCTTTTTCGCTAATGTTGGAGCCAAGAAGCTGTTGGCTCCCATTGCTCCAAGGTTTAAAAATAACATGGAGACCACATCATCATTATAATTTTTTTAACAGAGATTTATTGAACACCTCGAGTGACATTCACATTTATCATTACTTCATAAAGAGTACACTGCTGTGTGTTGCATACATTCATCTTTTGGGCAACATGTTTTTTTTTTATTTCCTGGAGCATTCAAACTGAAATCTGATAGTTGTTGCATTTAATTAGCTGTCTGAAAACATTATGCAAAAATCATGTAATCAATCATGAAAAGAAAATCGAATTTAACATCACTGTTTATTAGTAGCATTTTGGAGGTCCCTACCAAGGAAAAGTAAAATAAATATCAATAGAAACATACAGAGACCTGCTTAGCCATCAAATTCCAAGAGCAAATGCACTTCACTACATTTACCACGTTCACATAGATAAATGCCAAAGTTGAAGAAAAAAAAAACTCTCCTAAGAAGGCTCAAAAAAGAGATTTACCAATTAATTTCAAGAATACTACAAAAAAATATATAAATGCTATGGTGTTAGGCTCGCAAACACACCCATAGTATCAATTATTTGGTAAAGAATTTCTTTATTTCCAAAGAGGCAGAACAGAGGATGGTATGAAGTTCCAGGTAGTCAGCTTCCCAGAATTTAACTGTATTTTAAATCTTTGAACAAAACAGCTAAAAAAGATTTGAAGAATTTGACATATTCCTTTTTAATTCACAGCAACCACAACAACTACAACAACACCCATGCCAACAACAACATCCACAACAACCTCTGGTATGACAAAACAGACCTTTTCAACACAGGCCTTTTTGTATTCCTTGTGGCATTGTAACATAGCTTCTAGAACAGGCTACAAAGTTCTGAGAATAAATCTTGTTTCAATTTAAGTTTTTTGCCTTTCAGGATTTACTAATAATAGTCAGGTTCATACTTTTCCACTTCCCTGGGGAAAAAAGAATAACTAGATCTGTTTGCTTCTGCAGAACCATTGTTCCTTGATGTGGACATTGTTTTGAGCATCCCAGCTGCCATCGTGCCATCAAATATCCCTGAGTCATTCCGAAGTGCTCTTCAAACAATAAACCACCCTATATCTCTTTCAAGGATAAATGTTTTACAAGTAAACTTGACTACCGGTAAGAGAAGCTGGTCACACAGTTTTCTGGATAAATAGAATAGATAATATAAAATACAGATGGATGATTTTCCTTCTTTGATATCTTTATCAGTCTGCATTCCAAACTCCTATGATGAACTGCAGTGTGAATGTGAGGGTGGTTATGCTTTGCCATGTGACATGTGCAACAGCAGCAACTCATGCAGTAACACCAGCAGTTCAACCTGTACATGCATAAATGGACTTCCTCCAAATGATGAGTTTTGCCAACCAGAAACTAGTAAGCTTTCTGTTCTGTTGCTTTGCTAATTGATTAAGCACACACCATTCTGGTCTAAGACAAAAATGTTTAATCTCTTGCTCTTCACAGATAACTCTATATGCCCAACACCTACTCCAGGTATGTACATCATATAGATCAAGGTTGTGATACAGTCTTTCCAAAAAGATGGTTTACAAAAGCAAAAGGCTCTCTGAATCGCTGTCAGCAAAACATAAAAAATAAATAAAATAAATAAAGGAAAATATGTTTCAAAGACAGAGAAAAAGCATTACAGCTACCAAGAAAGGGGAGATAGCGAAGGAGAATATTGTTGCTGGAGTTAATGTTAGTTTATATGAAGTGGGCAGGCCATTTTTATATTTAATCAAAGCACTCCTCTCTGATGTTCCATTTGTATATCACTAAAAAAAGATTCTTCCTGATCAAAATGATACTCCTAGACCTAATTGTAATGATATATCTTCTAAATTACATTTCTGTAGAAACTGACTTTTAAAATTAAAAAAACAAACCAAAAATATATTAGTAAGAATTAAAGGGGAACACCATTTTTTTTTACATTTGGCCCTTGATTTTACGTTATTACATCATGTTCTACTAACCCATATGAGTTTTGTGTCATTTGGAGCCGTTTTGAAGATATTCCATTAGGTTATATCCAGGTATGCTGATGGAAGATTCTCAGTCATCCAGGTCATAGTCATTCTGTAAAAGTTCAAAAAAATCCACTAGACTTGGTTTCCAAGATTTCCAAGATTTGAAGACTTTTCGCCACCTCTCCAGGAAGCTTTCTCAATTCAAATGTCTGGATCTGCAGTGAGTTAAGAGTTTTTATATCGACAAGGCCTTGTATTGCTTGGAAACATGCAAATGGAAACCGATTAGTGGTTCGTTTGGTTCCATTGTTAGCCCGTAATACCTGAAACCTGTCTATGATATTGAAGCCCGGTCGTTAAAGGGGGGGATTGTCGTTAAAGGGGGAGATTGTCTCCTGTAATACCTGAAACCTGTCTATGATTGTTAAGAGTCAGTCGTTAAGGAGGTATTGTTCACTGGCTGGAGCGGGTAGGTCCCTCGTTCCTCTGTGATGGGGTGGGGGGTGTGGTGATTTCTGGAAGGGATCATCTCTATCACTGAATTGTACGTTTTTGGAAGCTGGAATCTGAGTCCACCACCTCTGTTTAAAGTTGGTTTTTCTCTCTTTATATAAATGGCTTCCTTCACGCGCCTCTCAAACCACCTATTTTCTTTATCCAGAATGTGAACATTCTGATCCTCAAAAGAATGTCCTTTGTCCACAAGGTATAGATGTAAGTCTTGTCCAGAGGAGGCCATTCTTCTGTGTTGGGCCATGCGTCTGTGGAGAGGTTGTTTGGTTTCTTTAATATAAAGATCAGAGCATTCCTTGCTGCACTGAACAGCATATACCACTCCGCTCATGGTGGAAGCAATCTATGTTAAGAGAGAAAAAACAACTTTAAACAGAGGTGGTGGACTCATATTGCAGCTTCCAAAACCCTTACTCCACACGCACAATAAGAAATATTACGTCTAAGGTAAAACCTGAAGTAGAACAGCAAGAGAAATACGGTTCAACAAAACTGGATTTCTGGAATCTACTAAAAACTTTAATTTTAGAAATAAAGCAATGTTAAACATTCTGATTTCTATTGTTATAGTAACAACAACCACAGCTGCTCCGACGACAAAGACGGCGACAGCGGTTCCCACAACGACCATGGCCACTCCGACAACAACCACTCTTTCTCCAACAACGACCCCGGTTTTTACAACAACAACCACTGCTGCTCCAACAACGACCACGACCGCTCCGACAATAACCACTGCTTCTACGACAATTACTTTTCCACAACAAAGAGGTACGAAAATTATTGAATTACCGTAAAGCTCTCAAACTTTCTTGTCAAAGACTTTATGTATTTTCCATTGTAAATAAAAAACATTCATGTCAATGTGATAGTTCCCAATGGAAAAGCATTATGACAAACTGCCCTACATTGTCATCCATTAGAAATGCATATCCAGTTTATTTTGGGTGGATGGGAGAGCAGAACTTGTCAATTTCTACATTTTTATGAATAATAAGCAGACAAGGAATAAAGTCAGAGTGAAGAATGTCTTAACAAAAAACTTTTGAAAATGCCTTTCAAATAATTTAGATTCACTGAACAATAGCAGGATGATCTCAAAAGAAAAAATACTGGTAAAGCGCTGTCTACACAGGGTAAATTGAAAGTAAGATGTTTATAAATTGACTGGTGACCTACAGTTTGTATTTCAGGGATGTTTTTAATTTGTTAGTGTGATTTGTGAACATATTCTTTAGGCTTATTAATTTTGTCTACTTTCTTATAACAAACAAAATTTGCTCACAAAAAGTAAGAAAGTTGGAGAGAGGGGAATTTGATAAGAGAAAAGAGCCCATTAACTGAGGAACATGTAGAGGGACGGGAGTGATCAAGCTCTGTGCTCCGTCACTTTTGTTGAGACCTTCAGCTGACTGCAAATACTCCACCATAAGACAAGTTTCTGAAAGAGCAATGAGAACAACCTCCTCAAATTGCTTTCTTTAAAACTTTAGTATCAGAAATGAAATGTTAGTCGGTTGATTTTTCAGCATAACCTTTATATAATATCTGACAAACTGTCCTACTTCTTTACCTCTGGATTTTAATGCATGAAATATCTTCCATTTGTCTTTCAATCTCCAGGAGTGACCTTTGTCCTAAAGATCCCAGCATACTTTATACAAAATTATACACTTCAGATCTTCAGGAGCAGGCTTGATGAAGTATTCAATTCATTAACACTCCCACCATCTTTGAAAGTAAAAGAAATAAACTTGACCACAGGTAAAAAAAAAAACACTGAATAAATAAGGAATATCTGCTGATGGAAAATATTGTATAAAATTAATTTTAATTGTCTGTCAAAGTCTGTTTTAAAGGAATATCTAAGGAACTGCGCTGTCAATGTGAGGATAATTTTGCATGGCCATGTGAAAGGTGCAACAGCAGCAGATATTCATGCAGTAACGTGAGCAGTGACTACTGTACCTGTAGAGACGGTATCTCTTCTATTAACGAGTATTGTCAGCCCCTCCTAAGTAAGCATATTGTTTTACTTCTTTAGCAAATCATTATTCTCCACCCAAAAAAAAAAAAAAACATGATTTACAAGAAATATAGAACCATAAGTGTAAGTATTAATACCTGTCTTTATGTTTGGTCCACAGATAATTCACGATGTCCAGGTATGGGAAGAAATAATTACTTATGCACTTCATTTTATCATTTAGCTATAAAACGTGTGAGAACCATATTTTTTTATTTCCTTTTTTTTAGCTACTCCAACCACACCATTACCAACAACGACTACAGCTGAGCCAACCACAACTTCAGCTATGCCAAATACAACTACAGCTAAGCCAACCACAACTTCAGCTATGCCAGTCATAAGTACAGCTTTGCCAACTACAGCTAGGCCAATCCCACCTATCCCACCTACAGCTGAACCTCAGGTTATACGTGGCAGAATTACCATAGACATTCCATTTGAACCCTCGTTTAATACGGAAAGCAGTCCATTTTATCAAGGCATTTATGATACCGTGAGTTCTCATTACTTTGTGTGACTATCTACATTTGTAGCGAATAATTTAATTTACAAAAGGTAAATGTGTTTATTCCTGGTCTTGGTCCTTCTTTAAACAGATTACCAGTCAATGTGGAGAGTGTAGCGCTACCCTGAGGCTTTCGTAAGTCAAATTTATTCTTAATATTTGCATACATTTGGTTTATTTGTCTTTCAAAATCAAACAGAAATACAACGTTCTTCTTAAATTAAATTAACTTTTATTTCCACAAATGTATGCCTTTAAACTGGTCAGTAACATTGAAACATGCATGGCACACCAGCTGCAATAATTAGAACACAGTAATTTACTGTGTACCTTTCTGTGGTTTTGCCCATCGGAAAGAGGTGTCAAGTAATGAAGGACAAGTACTAAAGTTCACTTTTTAGGTATCTTTACTTTACTCCATTACTTATTTTTTTCGTACTTCTGACTTCTACTCATTATATTTTCACACAAGTATCTGTACTTTCTATTCTTTACATTTTTAAAACAAACGTTACTCGTTACTCTTGGCTTCGGTTTATTGCACAGATCATGGATTAGCGGACCGCGGTGTTATGAACAACATAAAATCCAAAGATTTTGTCCGGGGTACGGCTGATTTATTTGTAGTAGTCTCTTTTTATTCACACACAACAATAAACAGTGATGCCGACGGGAGTTTTGAAACTGCAAAGCTTTGTCTTCAGGTGAAAATCAAACGCGCATCTACACAGCACAGCGTTTACAGACAAGTGTGATGCATTTACGAGCGTCAGATAACAGAACTTAACTCCTACAATAATGTATTTATTCAGAAACAGCGTGGGCTTTCTTGCAATATTGAATGCTCTATAATTGTATTTCTGTTAATTTTTGATTATGCACACCTGCTAGCTTTCTATTCTAAAAAAATCTATAATATTACAGCAGCAAATTATCAAAGATTTTCAAAAGCCTGTTTAAAAGCTCCAAATGTGGCTTCAGATCATACAGCGACAATTGTTGATTGTCACTGTACAATCTGAAGCCAATGCCCCAGCAATTGTCATTGTTTTACAGGACAGAATTTGCATTTGCTGACCCTTGTCCTTTAACTACCGATGGATATACAGGAGTACAATTTTTATTTTTTTATCTATTTATTTTTTATTCAATGTATAACATGAATGCATAAATACCTCATTTTATTTTTGTGTTAAATTCTGTTTAAAGTAACAGATCACTGGTTGATGATTTTCTTTTTTTTCGGACCCCACTGATTTTTAATTGGTTTCCCTGGTTTAATGTTTATAAATATTTATTTCAGTCATGTGCTCCATCCAATGCAGATCATTGGCTCCATCCACATCTAGTGAAAACTAGTGTAATTGGATGAGTCATATAACACAAACACTCATTGGTTAGCTAAAGGAAATCATCTGAAGCAAGCAGGTGTTCGTCAAACTGCAAACGTGAATTGCCATGCCATGCCATGCCATGCCATGCCATGCCATGCCATGCCATGAAATGCCATGCTACAATGTCGGATTCAGAAAAAGATGTTGAAATGTCTGAAAGGTCGGACAGAGGAGAGAGCGTACCGGGAGATGGAGATCAACAAGACCTCCCTCATCCTTGGCCCTATCTCAAAGAATTTTTCCAAAAAGTCGAAAAATGTAGCTTTCAATTCATATAGTGGCATCTGGCTGTTTTTTTTTATGGTTAATTTATACTTTTTTACTTTAAGTAGTTTTTGGAGCACATACTTTTTCACTTTTACTTGAGTAAAGAGGTCAAGTTGATACTTTAACTTTTACCAGAGTATTTTTAAACTGCAGTATCTAAACTTCTACTTAAGTAATAAATGTGTGTACTTTTGGCACCACTGCCATCGGATTAATTTTTCTGAAAGAGGTCCTTTTTTCTGAGTGACATACAATGAGCATGAAGTTTTTAACGTATTTTCAAGAGGGATTTTCTTTATTACGACTTCTGCTGGAAGCATCCAGCATATAGGAGTACATTAGATCACTTCTTAATATAGGTTACTTTGTAGACATGACTTCAATACAGAATTGTACTTGCATATGAACACACAAATACAATACATGTTCTTGAAACCAGACATTGTTTTTTTTTAAGTGGAGAGAATGAGTGTTTTCAAATATTCGGGAAAATCCTTATGCCTTTATCCTCATTGATTTATTATTTCCACACTATATTGAATTTTATATCAAAGTTTTGGTATTTTTAAAAACATTATTTATTTGCAACAACTTTTGAGATTATAAAAAATAAATCCATAGTAAACTTTAGGATTCCTTTTTTGATTTAAAGGAGGAAATATTTAATTCTTTTGTATTCTTTATTGCAGACCAGGAAGTACCATAGCTGATTATAATATTACCTTTACACCCCCTGACACACTAACAGAAGAACAAATTCTGAGACAAATGTCATTAAAATACCCAGTTCTCATTAACGGTAAGTAGACCTTAATAAATCAGGGGATAAATTGAATGTTTCATATTTATTTTATATTGTCTAAGGACAACTGAATAATGATATTGCTGTCTCTATGAAGGTGAAAATAAAGAACAGAGAGCGTATTCTGGAGATCCCCTCACTTTGACATGTGAACCTCCAAGCATTGATTTTAGTGCCGTTACTGTATTTTGGAGAAACAAAGGAAAAGTTATTGCCGAACAAAGTACTTTGACTAATGGAAAATCAGAATATAAATTCCCAAGGATTTTTAAGTTTGATGAAGGTAAGTAAGAAAATTGGTTATTATTTGCTTTTCCTTTTCTAATACATTCTGTTTAAATTAAATAGTTTGGCTGAACATATTGGTGTTGAAATGCAGAATTATTGCATCTCCATCTGTTGATCCAGTTGATCCTGACCCACAAACTCAAAGTCCTATAGAAGTGTGGGGAAAAAAAGCTTAAGAAAATATTAAAGTACTTATATTGAGCCTAATAACACCATAACTTGCTATGGTTTAAAGTTTATATATATATATATATATATATATATATATATATATATATATATATATATATATATATATATATATATATATATATATAAAAGAAAATTAGGAAATCTGATTTAAAATAGGCAAACCGATAAACACATAAAATCTCTAAATACATCTAGTTAATAAAGTAAAGCTTAAAATTATTAACATAACTAACATAAATGATTAAGATTCTTAACAGTATTTTTGACTAAAATTAAAACAATAAAGATCAGTTAAATCTTTTAAAAACTTCAATCACATTTTTCACCATTTCTGTAATTTCAGCTTGCGCTCACAGCAACATTTTTTGCTAAATTTCTTGTGCTAATGCTTTTGCTATGAAGTAAAGCGGATTTAGCTGATGCTGTGGAACAGTTGGAAAGTATTACTCAACTCTACATCTTTTGGATATTGAATAGTTGTTACTCATTATTACAGTTTGGGATTTGTTTGTGATTTTGATCATGCAACCTCATAAAACAGAAACTCATTGAAATATTGGGTGTTGGAGAAAACATTTTTTAAGAAGTTAATAACAAGATTTATTAAGTATTAAAGGTCCTATATCCCGCTTCCTTAGCCTTCAAAGTTTATTGTAGGCAAATATATAGAATGATATAATTCCTTTATAATTAATGTATATCTTGTATTATTTTGTTGTATGATTGAGGTCTTTAAACCTCAAAGGAAAACACTTGTTCTTAAAGTGAAGCTTCATCTCCCCACCTGGGTGACTGCCTTTTCAGGCCACTGAAGGCTGAACAAAGTCTGAGACCTCTTGAGGCAGTAAAAAACTAAACAAAATCATGGCTTAGACTTTAACTAAGAAAAGGTATCTGCCCTGTACAAGTTAGCTGATAAAAGATCCATTTTGTTTTAAGTTTGAGCCACAATCATTATCCATCACGTTCTCCTGTTTTAAGAAAGTGCAATTTCTTTATAGTGCTGGCACAGTACAGTAAGAGTAGGGTAGAGGTGGGCTACAGATGGGTACAATCATCCATTATTGTATTGATCCTTAGTATCCTCATTTTCTTTCAATCTATACAAGCCTTGTACCTTTGTCTTATCTCTTTCTCACTCTCTGTCTTATGCTTACTGCCCGTGCCCCCTCTGCTCTACAGATGGAGAGCATGGGGGTCTTGAGGGAAGTCATTCACCCCAACCAGAGTGAAGCAGGCACACTTTTCTTTATTTTCCAACCCTCTCCCAACTAGACTTTTCTGACTCCACCATATGCAAGGATACTGAACAGGCACAAAAACAGGAAGAGACACACAAACGGAGTATTAACAAGGCAGAAAGGCGAGGCAGAGCTGTGTGCGTTAACTTTTAGGCAGATTCAATGACAAGGGCAAGTTGCACAGTAGAGAATGTAACAAGGCTGTGGAAAAAAGAAGCATTACAAATCATTTGTAAGAACATGTGAAAAATGGCAATGTAAAAATAGAAAAGGAGACACAATTCCCACAACGTCGTTCTGAAGGATCCTTGACCCAGAGACAGATGTTTCTATAAAAACAGCAAGTATTCAGGTTATCTTCTGCATAATTTGCTCATAAAATGCAAAGTGCAACCAGTGGTAAATTGCTCAAATCATTTAAAACCATATTGTGCTATCATCTTGCTTTTTTATATTACTTTCAATGGAAAGTGTCATTTTACAAGTTTAAAAAAGGGCTTCATGGAGGACTAGTTTGTACCACTGCTGCCTTGCAGCAAGAAGATTCTGGGTTAGATTCCCAGCTCAGATTTTTCTGCATGAAGTTTGCATGTTCTCCCCATGCATACTCTTCGGGTATTCCAGCTTCCTCCCACAGGCCAAAAACATGAACGTTAGGTTAATTAGTATCTCTAAATTGTCCTTAGGTGTGAGTGTGTACGTGCATGGTTGTATGGCTTTGTGTGTCTCTGTGTTGTCCTTCTACAGACTGGTGACCTGTCCAGGGTGTACCGTGCCTTTTTCCCAGAGATAGGCAATGATCCTGATGGAATTAGCATTAGAAAATGGACAGATGTTTTTATCTTTATTTAGCCTGAAAATTTACAGTAGTACAGCAAGTGTATAGTATCATCAAAATGACCATAATGACATATTGAAATATAATAACAATACACCAAAAAAAAAAACTACCTATATGACAGTTTTTGGCATTTGTTTAATCATATTTAGTTACTTTAACACAATTGTTTCATTTTAGCAGGGCAGGACATACAACAATTGTATTAAAATAATTAAATATGATAAAGCAAATGCAAAGAGCTGATGATAAGTTTAATAACAAGAAGAGTATGGAAAAACATTTTAACACCAAGAATGTATATATCCATAATTATTAAATGTATAAAGACAAATTCCTTAAATATGAAAATTAATGCAAAATCAAAAATTGATACCTTAATTGAATTGGCATAGACTTGCAGTTATTTATTTATTTATTTGTCTTTTTTTGTTGTGGTGTGTTACAATATTTTATTGAACTCCATTAAAAGGGAAAAAAATATAAAAGTAGATTAATAGAAGAAAAATATAGGCTATATATATATATATATATATATATAGGCTATATATATATAGGCTATATATATATATATATATATATATATATATATATATATATATATATATATATATATATTAGTGCTGTCAAAATTATCGCGTTATTATCGCGTTAACGCGAGGCCATTTTAACGGCGATAATTTTTTTACCGTGAGATTAACGCTATGTGGTTTTATGGTACAATTTTCCAAGTACATCCCGCTGCAGCCTGCGAGAAGGCGGGGCTATTTCCCCCCAGTCTATGCATTTCTCATAGGCTTCGAGAGCGGAGAGCTCCTCAAGGGAAAAAGACGCTCATACACTGGGTGACGCTAGTGCCTTTTCTTTAAGCCCCACCACCAACAAACAAGTTGAGTGTCTGGTAACTAGTAGCAACCTGAAATACGCTGAGAAAACAGATTACTGAGGTGAAATGGAATCTGCTACGGCACTCCTGCTGTCTGTGTACGCCACAGGTCGGTATCGTGTGTGTGTGTGTGTGTGTGTGTGTGTGTGTGTGTGGGTGTGTCTGTGTGTGGGTGGGTGGGTGTGTGTGTGTTCTCATTTTTGTTAAAGGTACACTATGCAACCGGTGTTGATTTTCCAGTGAGGCTCCCCCCAGAGGGCGAAAGTAAAAGTGCACTGTCGTAAATATGCACAGCTGTTCTCCTGGTTTCTCCGTCAAGCCAGGCGCGGTTGTTTTGAGCTTAGCAGCAAATGACTAATGCTGCGTTCACACTGGACGTAGCTGGCGCGACAGAAGCAGCGAGTTTACATGCAAAGTCAATGGTTGACGCGCGTCAAGGCGCAGCAAAAGGTCCCGCGGCGCGTTTTGAGCTGCAGGCACAGCACGTCTGAGCAGCTGAAGCAGCGCATCGGGCGTTGGGCTAAGCATCTGACGCAGGGAGAGAGACACAGCGCTGATGATCAATCCTCTTTTATTGACGCCTAAATTAACTTAAAATGCAGAAATCTGCCGGCAGAATATGCAGTTTGGATTATTTAGATGAAAAACACCTACCAGCTGCCGTGGTGAACCGCGAGGAGGCGACCCGGCGAGAGGCTGCTGATGAAGGGATCCATACTTTCGGCGCATCCCTGGTATGTGGGGGTCTGAGCGGATCCGACAGAAAAAATATTGAAGGCAGGATAATAATCTGAATGAACTGACTGCACTGATTACGTTTTCAGGTGTATTTTCTCACTTAAACACATATTAAAACTACTTTATTCCCACTGATCACAGCAAATATAGCTGCAAGGCAGAGAAAGGATAGTGAAGCTCCGCCCAAAGCGCGTCAGACACACTTTTGCACCGCACAGCCAGAGCAGCAAAGCTGTTTCAGCCGCGTCAGAACTAACTGGTACAAGCAGCAAAAATGAAGCAGCAGACGCGATTTTGCTGCTTTTGCTGCGTGAACGTAGCATAACTGCACAAAGATCGCCACTGTGCTAGCAACGAGCATGCTTTTAACTGGGGGGTGTAGCAGTTCTCGCCGTAAAGCAAGACTGACTCTCACGAGACTTCTGAGCCTGTGGGTGCGGGTCGGTGCTCCTGCAATTGCAAGTGCAGTATTTCCCCCACAGACCACCAGGGCGGCCGAGAATACCTTTGTTCAACCTGAAATGACTCATTTAATCATCCAAAACGTTATGGAACACATTAACTGAAAAATGTTGCATAGTGTGCCTTTAAGAGGCTGAAAAGTAACTTTCTAGAGCATAGACTACCTCCATCTAGTGATGTCGGTCTATTGATTTTGATGTATTGATTGAAAATTGTTCATTATTATCTTGGTTAATTAACATCTAATGTTAACTGTACTACATTTTATAGCAGTAGGGTAAAATGCTTGTCTTTGTTCAAAAGACTGTATTAAAGCTGCAGTCTGTAACATTGAGAAGAGAGCAGACTTCGACTGAAAATTTGAAGAAAAACAGGTTTCACGTCACTCCCCCACCCTCTCTGCTTCACTCATGCCCCACCTCCAAGCTCCACCCCTCTCACAGCATCTGCGCGGCTACCGCATGCGACCAGAAGGGGGGGGGGGGCGGGATTCAGCGTGTGTGAGCTGTGATTGACACTCCATCAGACGCTCCTCTGGCTGTGATTGGTTGTTTTGACTCGTCCCGAATGATTCTTTCCAGATTGAAATACAGGCAGTAGGCGGTACCAATTGAAGCAGTTTTTTTCACAGGTTACATATCACATGTACTGCTGTCTGGGCATAGGGACAGTTTTAGCCAATATGACAAAAAAGTGATTTTTTAAAACTTACAGACTTCAGCTTTAACTGTAAAGACTGTCTTTTACATCAGCCTGTTTTCAGGGCCTTTTTTTTGGCTACATATTTGTTATTTTTTGCTACATGCCTCCCCATCTTCTTGCCATATGTTTCTATGGCATAAATCATTGTCTGTGACCTGTTTTCATTTTAAAAAAAGAACATTGGCACAAACCTAGCCTGTATGTATTTTTTGTATGTCATCGAGAGTATTTAAATGATTTTCAATCAGAAAAAAAATTTGCGATTAAAATGCGATTAATCGCGAGTTAACTCAGGCATTGATGCGATTAATCGCGATTAAAAAAATTTAATCGATTGACAGCACTAATATATATATATATATATATATACATATACACATATATATATATATATATATATATATATATATATATATATATATATGTGTGTGTGTGTATATATATATATGTGTGTATATATATATATATATGTGTGTGTGTGTGTGATTCTCGTCTCAATGTCAAACAAAATATTTTAAATTTTGTTATTGTTATTGTTTTACTGTATTTCCATTTGCTTATTTTGGAAAAAAATGCACTCACATTTTTCTGATTGGTCTATTTATTATGTTTAGATTTTAGCATTTCATACACACATTTTTCCTACATCTTTACAAAACTATTCCACAAGAAAACAGTAAGAACAAAAAAAAATACAGAGTGGTTATAGGTTTTAGGATGTACTGTATTAAAAGAAGTCATTGGAGATACTGACAGTGTATTTACTTGGTATCAGGTCAATATAAGAACTAAAGGTATCACACATTTTTACTTCTTGTAGGGAGCCTGAGAGATATTCTCCAACTATTTGTTTTTTATAGGACAGGGAGGGGTTGCTGCTCCCACAATAGAGTATTTCTTAGAGATGCATGAATCCAAGGAAATACCATTTTGTTGTTGATTCTGATAAAGTACCGGTAATAGCATTATACGATAGTTCAATCTGAAAAACTGACACAAAGAGAAAAGACAATTAGGAGAAATTTCTTGATACAATTACTTTCTCTTTGGCGCTCAGACCTCAGCAGGAAACATAGCGCTTAATTTTGATAGACATGCATAAACAGGAGTAAAGAATACGGCTGTTTCCCCTGGGGCCTTAAACTGGTGGTGGAGTGGAGATAGATGAAGTTGGTCAGTCTGTAGACTGCTGGTTAGAGAGACGGTATGCTGAGCTTTATGGGGAGATCCAGTGGACTGCGTGGTGGAGTAGGGGCTGGAGGTGCGTTGAAAGGGGGTCATCTGAATGAAGTCACACAGGGCATCCTCCGCCTGCACACAGGAGCAGACAAGAGCGGATCAGAGGCCTTTTAAGATGCACTTTGGATGCTTATTGGCTTTCCCGGAGGTGTGGTTCAAAGCTGATTGGCTGTGTCGCAGGTGGATGAAGGAAAGCAATGAGTTTCTTCAGTTTAACTTCTGCCTAGGCTCCATTCAAAGGCAAAAAAGTTGATTTGCTTGATACAAGCCCTTTAAGTAAAGTTCAGACTTTCTACAACTCATGAATAAATGAACGAAATAATTTAGAGTAAAATTTTAATACAGCTTTTCAACTCCCACGTTTTCTCTCTCTATCTTCCTCTCTTCCTGTATGTGAGTCCTAACTTCACTGACTTTTTTCTTTTTTTTTTCCCTAGGAGAGTATGAATGTGAGATAAAATGGGGAAGTGGTTCAAGGTTCATTCAGAAGGTAACGTTGAAATCCATAACACTCCCGGACATCGACGCAGATCCAGACAGAGAAAGACTTAGATGTATTGATACTAAGCAACTGTCATGTAGAGTAAACGATGGCTTCACAGTCAAGTTGTTGGATTCAGAAGATCAAGGTAAATGTTTTATTAAGCACAAGAAAAATTATTAGTAACAAACAAAAATAATAATTTAAGAATTAATCCTCCTTACTGCACCACCAGAGATAACTATGCCACATACCTATGGACCCCAAGAGAACTGTGTAGAGGGGGAAGTGAAATACAAATGTGAAGCAAGATCAGTGAAATATGAATCACTACCGCCAAAATCAAAAGAAATTACACTACAACTAACCGAAGCAGGTTAGTATTATTTGACGAAGAGTGTATTCCCAGTTTTAGGAATTTAAATATATGTTTACATACAGTCCTAAATTGTTACCTAAAACACATTTACTTTTCTCTCTAGAGAGATTTTTATGTGTGTCTACGATCTATGGAAATGCACAGCTTGGTGAAATTGGTACTGCAGACTGTGATGAAGACGAGAGGGGAGAAAAGACAGCAGTTTGTGGGGAAGATACGATATTTAAAGATAAACAAGACAACTGTGTCCTTGCAGTGATTGCAGATCTGCTTGATCAATCAGAGGTGACATATTTTTTTCAAACACTTGTAACTGATCGATACTGTTAGTAATGGTACTTGTGTTACATTATTTTTCTGAGAGAAAACCACTGTCCTATAGATGATTGTTCCGAATGTATAGTGACTGTCATTTGTTATGTAGTGTTATTTCCTTTTTTGTATATGACATATTTAATAAGATGGAATAAAACCAAAGATTTAGATTTTTTATGTTTAATTAAACAGATTTCAAAACATATTTTAGTAGGAGAGAAAGGAATAATTGTTTTTAAAAGTTTAGGGCTTTTTTCATCACAAACAAATTCTAAAAGAAAAATATTTTTTTTAGGTATAGCAATCAAAAAACATACAGAAATATCTGTACTTTCAGGGATAATTATTAAGATTTTTTTTTCTGTTTTCATATGATAGAACTTGGATGAAGTAACAATTCCTATTTTCTTGGAGGACCTTAAAAATGCGACTTCTGCAAATAATGAAAAGATTGTTGAGTCTCCAGCAACCATCATTGCTATGGTTAAGATCTTTGAAAATGTCGCCAATGTATCATCATCTTTGAAAATCAAAATAAGTGATAATTCAACAAGGGTAGGTACATCTAAACATTTAAACATACACAGGCACAATGGAACTATGTCTTTTTAAAATTATGTGGTTTTTCTTTCACTTTGTTCTGTAGAATTTCCTAGAAAGTGCAGGCCTTCTAACAATTGATGACTCAAGGAAATCCTGGACTTTTCTCAATATGAATGACAATAATACAGATGAGGGATTAGGAAGAAACAGTTCCAGCTCTTCATTCTTGAATGTTTTTGAGAGGTTACCAGATTTTATAAGCAATGATTCATTGGAAATCAACACAAATTTTATTCTCCTGAACAAAACAGAACTTACAGATCCTTTCAGAAGAGAATTTAACTCCTCTGTGGAAATAGAATTACCCGAGGGGGGTGGAGAGAACAAACTAATTACCATCATAGTTTTTGCTTCCATGTACAATGTGCTTCCTGGAAGAGATGAACTCAACAACACATCCAACCGTGTCCATGGAAGGGTCGCTCTTGTTAGACCTGAAGTTAAAATCTCAAATATTACATTAAATTTTGAAGTAATAAATTACACAAATGAAACCATAGAAAACCCCAAATGTGTTTTTTGGGATTTTGATCTCTTTGACGGTCTTGGAGGATGGAGTGACGACGGTTGCTCATTAGTGTACTTTGAAAATGAAACAGTCAGCTGCAACTGCAACCACACCACTTCCTTCTCCATTCTCATGTCACCATACAGCCCACGAGACCTTGGTTTGGACATCATCACCTACATTGGAGTTGGAATTTCTATGCTTTGCTTGGTCATTTGTCTCATCATTGAAGCAATCATATGGAGAAAAGTTAACAAGAACACAACATCGTATTTGCGCCATGTCGCTATTGTCAACATCGCTTTGTCTCTCCTCATTGCAAACATTTGGTTCATTATTGGAGCAGCTATTTCAGATGTAACCAAGTCAAACAACCCAGCATGCACAGCAGCTACCTTCTTTATTCATTTTTTCTACCTCTCCATGTTCTTCTGGATGTTAGCCAAAGGCCTGCTGTTGCTTTATCGCACCCTTAGTGTGTTTGATGGAGGACTGTCTAAAATATCTATGCTGATCATTGGATTCTCTTTGGGATATGGTGCACCACTGATCATTGCCACAATAACTATAGCTGCAACTGCTCCCTCAAAGGAATACATACGAGATGAAATCATCTGTTGGCTCAACTGGGACGAGTCCAAAGCTCTGCTGGCCTTTGTGATCCCTGCACTCATGATAGTGTGTATAAACTTAATCATCCTGATTGTGGTGTTATACAAAATACTGAGGAGAAGAGTAGGAGGAAATGCAGCCCAAACAGGAGAAAAGCACGTTCTGGTGGTTGTAACCAGGTGTTTGGCTGTGCTAACACCGTTTTTTGGAATAACTTGGGGTTTGGGAATCGGAACCATGGCTGATCCTAAAAACAGGGGAATCCATATTGCCTTTGCATTCTTCAATTCATTACAGGTAACATTTCAACTGTTTATTAGAGTAACCTGTAGCTGCATGTTTTAAAGTTTATGACATTAACTTTGTAATGAAAGTGAGAAACTATTAAATACATTTTTTTCCCTAAAGGGTTTCTTCATTCTTGTGTTCGGAACACTGTGGGACAGTAAGGTGAGGAATCTTTAATTGCAAATACTCAAGTCTTATGATGTTTGTACCTTCATAAGTGAATATATTGACACTGGGAGATGCTCTGTAATTACTCTTCTGCAAATTAACTTTTCAGGTGCGATCAGCAATGGCAGTACCGTCACTGACATCAAACAGTAGAACAAGAGTAAGAATAGTTGTATTGTTTCAAGGTTTTTTCCTATTAAGTATTTTGGGGTGAATTCTTACTGAAAATGTAATTCTCATTTTAGAGCACATCTGCTGGGACCTCCTCCAGTGGACTAACCAACTTTTTCCAAAGATTTAAAAGAGGTATGCTATTTGGAAAACAAATAAAACATTTTCTGACGATTTAATTTTTGTTTAGATACCACATTTTAGATTTAAAAAAAGGAAAGTGTCCTTTGGATAGCAACGTAAAAGATGTTGACATTTGTTATAGTGTTATTATTTACATTCTTATTTCAAATAATAAAAAGATAAGGACACATACAGCAAAGCTTGAATTAATAGTAAACTATCAAGAAGTACTTAAAAGATAAAACTACTATAACTTTCAAAGTACATGAAAAATGTATTGTTCTAACATCATAACTTGTATAAAAAAGATATTGTTTAAAGAGTCATTTTTGGAACACAATATATGTTTAGGTTGTACTCAAGCTAACGGTAGTGTAGATAAACAGTTTAGAAAATATACAAGAACTGATCAAGTTCTATTTCATGCTCAGGTTGAGCCACATTGTTAATGAACAAATTGGACAGTATTTTAATAAGCATGCATACACAGAGTAGGAACTTAAAACGAAGCAAGTTGTACATGAGGGAGAATAAATCTGATTTGATGGGAGTGGCTAGCCTAGTAAACTAGCCCCACCCACCAGCCGCTAAAATAATTCTTGCCTACAAGTGCTCTAGCCTCGATCAATGCCCCAGGCCCTAGAACTGGCTGGCCAATCACAACGCAGAGATGTGTTGAAAATTTTGGATGCAAAGCGGGCGGGGTTTTGAGGGCATGACGACAAAGCTGCGCGACGCTGGGGAAAGCATAACAAGGAAGATGGCAACAACTATTGAACAGTTCTCATTTGACTCAGCTTTGGAATCAGTTTAGGAAGGAATAGACTTGGGGTTTTGGTTGAAATGTGAGCAGGAAGAGGCTACGTTCATTCATTTTTGAAAAAGAAGCATTTGCCGTTTTACCAACAGGCTGTTTCTTTACACTCCCCCATCAGCTTTCTGTCTCGATCACCACCTCACAGTCAGTTGCGCTCATTGGTCAGAGCATTGGCCAATAGGCACAGACCTGGTTTGAAAGACAAAGGGTTGTTCTCATCAACAATCTTCTGTTGTGTCATTCATCGGGGCCAGACTAAATTACACATTTAGTCTGGTTTATCAGGCTAGGGCGTGGCAGCAGTTTTTATTAAAGAGCTAAGGAGGCTCTATGGATTCAAACAACACCCCCTAAACTGCCCAAAAAGCAGTTTGGTAGTCACATAGAGTATCATGAGACATTTCCTGAAATATCTTGACCTTAATGGGATTATACAAATGGCCCAAATAAGTATGGCATTTAGATTCCTATTAGAAATTTAAGTTATATTATGTAATTATACAAAAACTGTCACTCAGGCTTTTTACTAACACTCCTTTCTTTAATTTTATTATTCTTTTATATACATATATATATGAGAACAGAGATGAAGCAGAATGATGAAAAAGGGCTTCTGATTTTAATTTTACCTATGTATATTTCTATGTGTATATTTATTAATGTAAGTATATATAAATACGTATATATATATATATATATATAGATAGATATAGATATAGATATATATATATATAGATATATATATGTGTATCCATATTTACGTATGTTTATAACTCTGTGTTACAGGGACTAGAAGAGGGTACAATGTGTCTTCCAACAGTTCATCCAACACTTAGTACGTACAAAAAAGTCTGTCTGCTAATATAACAAAGTCTACTGCTGATATATCTTTTTATTTCTACTTCTGCCTTTTTATGTTATGATAGTATGAATTTAAAGCTTCCAGCTTAATTCTCTTTTTGCAAAATGAAGGATTCAGTAATTCTATTGTGTCTGAAAAGCAGTATTTTTTTAAGATTGTTTGAGGCATCCAAATTCAGAAAAGCTATGTATTTTGATCTTACACAGCCTTTGTTTTTGATAAATTCACATGAATGTAATACTTCCTGTTTTTTCTTTTTTTTTAAATCAAAACTGTTTTGTATATCCCTTAAACAAATTAATATACATATTTGATTATATGTTTACCAGTTAATTGAAATGTTAATTGTTTAAACAAACTACAGATTCTTCAGTTCCAGTCAGTCCCTTTTAAAAAGTGAAGGTTTATGCTCTAAAAAAGGGAAATGCAATTATTGAAAAGCTGTGATTTTGTATGATGGATAAGTTCTTACTAGCTGGTATGCTATGCACAGAGCTAAGGAAGATTTTATTTTTTATTTGGAAGTGTTAGAATTATTTTTTGGTATATTCTAAATTAAAACAATTATATTTAAATCTTAAATGATCACAACTTGATGCAAAAATTGTATGTGCATGTGAACTGTTCATGATTTTTTGGTTAATCTTCTCAAAACTTGATTAAGGAAATGATCTAAGACTTTCTGTGTGGCGCACTTGAAGGTCCCATGGAAGGTTCAGCTTCAAATAGGAAAGCTTGCTCATTTATTATGATAAATCAAATTTCCAAATTTTCCTATTTGAAGTTTAGCTTCAAATAGGAAAACTTGCTCATTTATTTCGATAAAACTAACATGAGTTCACAGTTTAGATTTTCTCAGCAAATATTATTTTCTGACTGTTTAGTTTAGTTAATTCATATACCATGTATTGTAATGTGAACAATCAACATTAATTGCAGGCTTTGAATTTTGGAATAAAAGTCTTTAAGAAGTCTGGTTTCTTTGAGAGAGACCCTCTTTTAATTATTTGTGTGCACTTTTTCATGATACTGTTAAATCTTGGGCAGATGTTTAAATGCCTGTGTGTGGTATGGTAATTGCATTTTTTGTTTGAAAAACAAAATACATTTTCTTCTTAGCTGTAGAAAACAAAACCTGTTCACTAGGAAATGAAAAGAACACAGGTGTAAAGAAATGGAATTACATTTTTGCATAAGATCTGTGACTTTGCCTTGACTTGCATCTGGACCTGTTGTAATGCGTTGGTTTTGCCATGGCTCTTTTATGGCAAGACCTCCAACGGTGGCAATAATTATAATATTCATCAGTTGCATTTCTTTTGAATTGAACATTTTGAATTTCAATTGTTTAAAAATTTTTCCAATTATCTCTGAAAAAGGACCACTTGGTTTTTAATATGCTATATGTAAGAAAACCTTCTTGCTCCAAGGCAACAGTGCCCCACCGTGCAGCCCTGTAAGAATGATATTCCAAAGATGTTTCAAGTGTTCCAATAACGTCAATATTTGAAATTGAAATATGAAATGTTTTTATTCTATTTTTTGTTTTTAAAACCCCATTTTATACAACATGCAGCTCTCTAATGGCAGTGGGGAAGAAAATGTTGTCGAATCTGCTGGACCTGCATCCAATGCTTCAAAGTCTCTTCCCCGAGGGCAGCAGGGAGAACAGTCCATGGTGGGCGTGTGAGGGGACATTTATGATGTTACAGGCTCGGGACACGCAGCACTGGGATGAAATGTATTTTATGGAGGGAATAGAAGCCCTGATTATCCTCTCTGCAGTTTTCACCTCTTTTGTCACCTTCTTCCAGTCTGAGGTGCTGCAGCCTCCACGCCACACTGTGAGACAGCTGGTCAGAAGCCTCTCTATGGTGCTTCGGAAGGTTGTGAGGATGGCTGGTCGAAGGTGGCCTCTCCTCATCCTCCTCAGGAAGTACATGCACTTTTGTGCCCTTTTGACCAATAACGTGGTGTTTACAGTCCAGTTGAGGTTGTCTGGGATGTGCACCCCAGGTATTTGGTGCCGCTGACAACCTCTACAGCTGAGGTTGTCAGCGGCAATAATAACTAATGAGTATTGAAGCATGGTTAGGCTGGTTCTTCCTGAAGCCACAGTCTTGTGTCATCAGAGTGAACAGCAGGGGGCTCACGACGCAGCCCTGAGGGGAGCCTGTGCTTAGGGTGATGGCATCAGAGGTGTTCTGTTCAATCCGGACTGACTGAGGTCTGTCTGTGAGGAAGTCTAGCAACCAATTGCAAAGGGGTGTATTGAATCCCAGCTGTTCCAGTTTGCATATCAGATGCTGTGGGATGATGGGGTTAAAAGCTGAACTGAAGTCCAGGAACAGCATCCGGACGTAGGTGTTCTTCTCCTCCAGGGGTGCTAGACTCAGGTGAAGCACAAAGGAGATGGCATCTTCTGTGGAGCGGTTCCGCCAGTAGGTGAACTGGAACGGGTCAAATGTTGGTAGCAGACTTTAGAGGATGTGTATTTTGACCAGCCTTTCGAAGCACTTCATCATGATTGGAGTCAGGGGGCTTATGTTGTAGTCTGTGCTTGCCACATCCTCCTGGTGTTGCTGGCATTGTGGAAAATATTCTGGATCTTCTGGCTGTGGTTCTGATACACTGTGGTTTCTGTGGATCTTTCCAGTCAAGATGTCATGTGGCTGTCCCTAAGATCTGTAGTGTTGACAGAGATCTGGAACTGCTACTGTCATGAAATGAGACAGTCGGACCCAGTATTCAAGGAGAGACAGTCAGTAGGAAAGTTCAAAACGTTTATTAAATGAAAAACAAAACTAAAGTGGAGCTGCTAGGATCTGCGGCTTGCAGATGCTGCAGGAGGGGGGCGGAGCACCGCCCAATCTCAGACACTCTGCAGGTCAGTCCATAACCCTTGAAGGGGGTGCGATCCAGTCGACTGGGCTGACAGCTGACGCGGCGTGCGTCACCAAGAGTGTCCCTGGTGCTGCAGCTCTGGAGGATTGACAGGAAACCGATCCTGGTTAGGGAAACAGATCAGGCAGGGACAGACAGGATCCAGGCTTCCAGGTAATCCACCAGCTCCCAGGCAGGTTCAGAGTCTAACTGAGTCCAGAGGACAGGAGCAGACAGGATCAGATGCAGATGGGCAGGCTCAGTGGAAGAGGGTAGCCGAGACAGGACGTGGAACCAGAACTTGATGCAGGACCTTTAAACTGGTCTCCACCTTGGAGCCAGGCTTAGTGGGATAAAAACTGAACCTCCCCGTATACAGAGCCAAAAACCAAGAGGGCTTAGCAGGGGAGGAGCAGGAGACAAGACTGACACAAAAACCTCTTTCCACTGGCCGCCAGGATCCAGGACAAGAACCTTGGAATGAACAGAACCACACAAACTCGCAGAAAACAAATAATGATCTGGCCCCGAATGGTCAGGCTGAACAGAATATAAACCAAAGGCAACAGGTGAAAGGAATAACTGATAATTGAGGCAGGGAGGGAAAACGACAGCTGAAAGAAATAACCAATTAAGGGAGAGCAAACAGGCCAGATCATGACGGCTATGACGCATTGGTGTGGTTCTTTCCTGGGGAGATCTCTGATGGCTGGGACTGTGCAAACATAGCAACAATATTTTTTTATACTGAAATCACACATAAGCATTTGCTTAATATAAGAAAAATTAAACGATTTTTAAGTTTAATTGTTGTTTCAATGCTTGGTGAGTATCCGTGCTCCTCGCTGGCTGTTTCCCCCAACTACATTAGGTCAGAGTATTATTTACCATTTAAAGCTACAGTGTGTAATAATTACAGGGATATACAGTCAGAAATTTAATATATTATACATAACTATGTTATTTATCATCATCTACGAGCTCAGCCTCTTAACCTTAATATTTGCGTTGCCTTAGAATTCGTTATTTACAATTACATAGGAGCGGGTCTCACAGCCATGGAGGCAGACATCTTTGCGCTACGGCAGCGCAGAGCCAACAAACTAGCGATTGTGAGATCGCCAAAACGTCACAACGATGTAGAAAAAATAACGGGTATATTTATTATCTTAAGTAGGGTGACCAAACGTCCGTATTTCCCGGGACATATCCGTATTTCACGTCCTGTCCCGGGCGTCCCGGGTTTTTTTTAGAAAGTGAGGAAATGTCCTGATTTCACTGCGCACGACGCTCCGTGTGACGTAATCCCTGATCCGCGTCAGTGCGGGCAGCCCTGTTCTTAATCAAAGGCTCTGTTCGAAAACCTAGGACACATCCTCCAAGGACGCGGTCTACCTAGACTGGATCCTTCGAAGTCCTTGAAAATAAGGAGGCCGGAGGAGTTTTGGCCGTAAATTCGAACAGGTCCTCCCTTCGGCGGGTTTTACCGCCGTATGCTCTGTTGCTTAGCAACCGTGAAAGTTGACACACAAAGCAGGAAAAGAATGAATACCGAGGTTTTCAAAACTGTTTGTTTATTTATTTATTTTTTTTTAAAGTTAAGGTGAACAAAGACTACACTCACAAGAATCCAGAGTGGAATAAAGGTTCCAACCACCGGGAGCAGGAACAAATCAAATCAAATGTAATGATAGAAACCTTAGTCAGTTAAATAACCTGTTGCTGTCATTTTGCACATCTCTGATGCTGCTGCTATTTTCAAATATCCATTACTGTAAAAATGTCCATAGCTGCATATTGGTTATTTATTCTCCAGTTTTATATTGTTAAAACACTTTACAGAATTGTATTTTTTATATTTTAACTCTTCCCTATTATGTTATTCTTATACATTTTTCTAAGGTCCTCATTTGTGTGAACATTTTCAATAATCTTTCTGCTGCTGTAAATTTGCCCATTGGGGGACAATAAAGAGATTTTCTATTCTATTCTATAAAAGGGTTACAAATATATAAGTAAATCTAAACAATGTATGTACAAAATATATCTGCAAAATCTCTAATATTCAACAACAAAAAATACTTAGTTAAGCATACAACAATAAAAAAATTAAACTCCT